GCAATGGCTGGTGGGCATCCATCAGTGCCCATCTGATGTCACTCAGCTTGCAGCTGACACCCAATACTCGTGCTATTCCAAAGCTGCCCATTCCTCGGGAGGTTGTTGGAAGCAACAGGGCAGCTGGAATCCTGCTGTTTTCCCTCAGCAGAACTTGAAACATCAAAGGAAATCAACACGTCCCATTTTATCACCCATCAACTTCCCTTCCTACCCACAGATGACATTTCCTGGTGTTTTCAGATGGATATGTCATGTAAACCACAGCAATACCAGTGCTGCCTTGATTGTTAGAGTTTCTGGTTTAGTGGCAATCTTTGAGAGCTCCCAGAGATGGGAATTTCCTTGTGAATTGCACCTTTTCCAGCAGGAGAGGGTGGAGGGCAAGGTTTAGGAGTTGCCATTGCAGTCCTGGAAATACGAATTCTGAAGGCAAGATAAAGGCCCCAGATCAACAGTTTTCTGCTTGGGCAAAGAAAGGATAAAAGAAGGTTGAGAAAATGAGCAAACAGGTGTGGGATGAGTCTAAACGTGGTGCTGGAGAGAACCTCCATGCTCATGATCTGAATTTGGGCTTCAGTGGTCTCTTGGGTTTAGGTGTCTGTCCTCACCTGGACTTTACATCCTCTGAATCTCCCACTGTGCTGGTGTGTTACCTGTGGCTGCATCTGTCTTGGGAATGCTTTCGTGGATGGGCTGCACAGGTCATGGTGGGCAGGGTTTCCCTTCTAACCATTGCATTTAAAGGCTTCGTCAGAGAATAACCTGCTACCTCTGTCCTCTCTCACAGCAGAGCATTGTCACAGGCTGCTGAGGGAAGGGGTGCAGGGTGTGGGACCTCTGTCTTCTCCGAGGTTGTTAAAGGCTCTGCAGATGCTGCTCAACATTGATGAAGCAACCTGGGAGCAACAGATCATCCAGCAGAGCACAGTGAATCACAAGAGGTCAAGAGAGTGATGGCACCACCATTAGGACTCCCCATCAGGACTCTCCAGCTCAGATCATTCCAGCAGGATCCCACTGCCAGGATCTTGCTCGATGGCCTGTGGGGATACAGGTGCAGGGCAGAGGTGGGAAGCAGTGAAGGAGGAGGTTGTGGTGAGGTTGGTGTTGATCTCCTCTCCCAAGTGACAAGCAGTAGGACAAGAAGAATTAGGCTTAAGTTGTGCCAGGGGAGGTTTAGATTAGATATTAGGAAAAACCTCTTCCTGGAAAAGGTTGTCAGGCCCTGGCCCAGGCTGCCCAGGGCAGAGTCCCCATCCCTGGAGGGATTTCCAAGCCCTGGAGATGGTGCTGAGGGACATGGGGCAGGGGTGGCCTGGGCAGGGCTGGGGGAAGGGTTGGACTCAATGATCTGAAAGATCTTCCCAACCAAAATGATTCTCTAATCCTAAGAGAATGGGTGGGAGGCCTTGACTGGCTGCATGGCCAAGTCACAGGCCCTGTTCCTGGGCAGTGATTTGATTCAGTTGCATTATCTGACAGGTCTGTGCACTCATGCCTCTTTCCCCCAAACATAAACCCATGAAAACCTGAATGAATAATGACAGAAGCAAAACTACAAGTGCTGCTACTTTGCCTTTGGTGTGCTCAGAAATACCCAGATGGGAATGTGATCTCTGCTGCAAATGATTAATCACGGAGGGATTACGAGGAGAAATATGACACTGGTGAATGTCTGAGATTAATTGGAAAGGGCATCTGCACTGACTCAGTTTATTCATGCTTTGTTGTCACTCCCATCACTTCCAAGGAAGCTGTCCTGGAATTTGTGGAGGGTTGCTAATTATTATTTTTTTTTTTTGAGGTTTGAATGCACAGATAAAGAATCTGAATTAATCTCATTGTTTACTTAATTGATTAACAAGTTATGCTGTAGAAATATTAAATCTTATCCTCTCACTGTGCTCACAAGGTTACATCCTCTCTCTTCCTCCTTAATCTGTTTGTCAGCCTAATCTAATGTGATGCATTTTATCCCATTTAAACTTACAAGATGTGGTTTATCTAGTGCAGCTTATCTAAATGGTTTGTTCTCTATGAGTGTTAGATACTTATTGCAGCTTCATCCTTGCTCCAGGTGAGGATTTTGTGTCTGTGACTGAATTTCATGCTCTCAACACCCATAGGAAAAGGTTTTTACCCCCTTTTTCAGACAAGGACTGAAGAGACAAGTGTTTGAATGACTTTCTCATGATTAGAGAAGTAAACCAGCACCAGAGCAAGGAACAAACCCTGTTTTGCTTACCTACCATGTTAGAAATTAAAAGAGCATTGATGAGAACACACAGTTTTCACTGATTCCTGGGAGAAGGATACCCCAGAGCTTTAAGAAGTGATCAGTATTGTAAGAGCCAAGCTTGGAGAGCACCCACCATGTTTCCATGGAGTAGAGCTCTCTTCCAGGCATGGATGCTTCTCCTGGAGACCAGGCAAAGAAAATGCCATGCAAGTAGTGTTGATAGAAGCCACTGTTGGCTGGCTCCCAAGCAGGCCCCTCTCGAGTCTGAAGGCATTTCTGTGCTCCAGGCACTTCCCCATCTTATGCAGAACCCACTTTGAAGGAGAAGTGAAGCAACCTTGGTTTTTGTTCTTCTGGCTGCGAAGGATTTGAAGCTGGAAATGAGTCGTAGTGACACACCTGCCAGAAACCACCAGGGAGCTGGGAAGGATGAGGCATGGCAGTGTCTTCTGAAGATGGATCCAAGCACTTTGACGACACGGTGCAGCCTGAAACTCAAGCTAATGGCTGAGAAAGGTTAAGCCATGAGCTCTGAGCCTCTGGTTTGATTCTTAATTCTTATTAATGGAGTGAATGTTGCTGACGGGTTCACCAGAGATGAGCTCGAATCCCAGCATCCCCCTCTGAACATTGAAATGGTCCTCCCCCAAATTAGCAGAAGGCTCTGATTGTCAGTCAATTGACTTCAGTGGAAATTTCCACTGACTTCAATGTACTTTGGCTCAAGCCCAAGGCTTGTGTCTGCATCTTCTAACCATTGATGCAGCTTCTCTGCTTGCAGCTTTGCCAGAGTTTCTGGAAAACACCTTTTAAAGCTCAAGTGAGGAGAGAGGCTGAAGGTGGTAAGAGGGACTAAAGAAGTGCAAACTACTTCATGGATTTCTAGGCCAGTTTGAGAGCAAGGGAAAAATGATTCTGTACGTTAATTGAATTAGTATTGAAGGTGACCACTCTATGGAAGGTCAGTTGGTCTTTGCACTGATGATTGCAAGTCAATCATTCTTTGCACTCTTAGTGTTCACTAAGAATTATTTCCCCCCATTGTTTATTTATTCCCCCCCCCCCCCCATATTTAAGCTTTGAAAGCATTTTCTCTAATTTCTAAAGATTTTGGGTGGAATTTGCTTGATACCTGGAAACAAAAGGAACCAACACTGAACCAGTTTAGAAAGGATCAATTTGTACTTTTATTTTTCTAAAGCCTTTGGCTGCTTCTGGAGAGTTTTGTATGTTCTTTGAAGGGGGGACAGGATAGGAAAGGACACAGTGTATGATTTTTCCTGTTAAAGATAGAAAGAAGACTGTGGCCCAAATGAGATCTGAAGGTTAGCTCAGCTATGCCATCTTCAGTGGTAATAATGATTATAACCAACACCATTTTGTATTTTTTTTATGCCACCACTTTCCAAGTATTTAGTTTTAATGACCAGTCCTGTCTTTCAACCCCCCAGCAGCACAAATGGAATGAAAAATTGCAATTTGCTGTTGATTTTCATGCGTGATTTGTCATATACTCCAGGAAGTCTGTGGTCATGTGTACAATGTGCACACAATAATTTGTGAGATATGAAGATGAAAGGGGTGGGAAGCCAAGACACAGGGAAAATAAGCAGTTTCCCCCAGGTTGTGCTGCAGGACAACCCAACCCCTGCTCCCTGGTGCCATCAGTGCACGTTAATGTTAATGCACTGCAGCAGGAGCTGCAGGAGAATGGAAAAATTAAGGAACCCCCTGCTGGAATGGTTGTTCAAGAAAGAAAAAACAGATTTTGGCCTGCTCCTCCTGATTTCTGCTGGAGGTGTGGGGGGGCAGATTGTGAGATCATCTGCCATTGGGTGAGGGAGTGGGTGGGTTTGTGGCCAGTGAGGAAGCCAAAGTGCTGCAGGATTAAGGAGGATATTTCTGTCACAGTGACTGGTTATTATTTCCTTTCTGAGTGAGTTACAACAGTCAGAGCCCTGGTCGTTTTGCTTGGTGTGGCTCTTTGAAGGTGCCCAAGCAGAGATGTGAGAGCAGGAACACAATCACCCCTTAACAGAGACTGTTCATGCAGCTCAGACAGGAACTGCATGAGAGTTCTAAGGCAGGAGAGTCTGGCAGCATGAAACCAAAGAGATGTAGTAGTTTGGAGAGAAATGGTGAATTCAAGCCTTCTGAGCAGGACTTCCAGAGAGGCTTGGAGCTGGGGCAGTTGCTTTTCTTACAGAGCACTATTGTCAGGTCTAATCCTGCTCCCAGGGAGAGGCAGATGGTGCACAGTTTCCCCTGTGATGAACACTGATGGGGCTGTACCTGGAATGCTGGGGTCAGGTCTGGGCCCCTCAGGACAAGGAGGACATGGAGGGGCTGGAGCGTGTCCAGAGAAGGGCAAGGGAGCTGGGGAAGGGGCTGGAGCACAAGTGTGAGCAGGAGCAGCTGAGGGAGCTGGGGGTGTCCAGCCTGGAGCAAAGGAGGCTGAGGGGAGACCTGCTGGCTCTGCAGCTGCCTGAGAGGAGGTTGGAGCCAGGGGGTGATTCTATGGTTACTGGTGCTGGTGGGGTCCAGGTTTTAGCTTTTCTGCACTTACCAAAATAATCACCAGTCAATGCAGGGATAGGGCTTCTTGTAGTGGACTCAGTCTAGGAGAAGGGAGAGGACATCCAGGGGTCTATGTAAGGAGCAGCAAAGAAGAAAGAAGAGTTTGTGTGGGTTTGCCTGCACCATCTAATATGTTCTCTCTTGACCTTTATCTTCCCCACCTTTCAGGAAGGAAGTCAAGATGGATTACAGCTCGCTCAGCGGAGTGCCCCGGTTCCTGACCCGGCCGAAGGCGTTCCTGGTGTCCGTGGGGAAAGATGCCACCCTGAGCTGCCAGATCATCGGGAACCCCATCCCAGTTGTGAGCTGGGAAAAGGATAAACTCCCAGTCCAGTCTGGGGGAAGGTTTAAAACCACAGAGGACGGGGATCTCTACCGGCTAACGATCTACGACCTGAGCCTGGAGGACAGTGGCCAGTACATCTGCCGGGCCAAGAACACCATCGGGGAAGCCTTTGCAGCCGTCAGCATCAAGGTGGGAGAGGAGACCACGGTGACAGAGTCAGCCCCCTACTTCATCCAGAAACCCTCTTCCATCAGAGTGACCCTGGGAGAAGACGTCATGTTCAAGTGCAAAGTCCAGGGCAGCCCTCCCCTCTCGGTGAACTGGGAGAAGGACGGGAGGTACCTGCGGAACCGCGCCGACGCCGGGCGCTTCCAGATCGAGTCCGCCGGGGAGTCAAACGCTCTCACCATCCAGTGTGCCCGGCTGGGGGACAGCGGCACCTACACCTGCCGGGCAGAGAATCTCATCGGCTCTGCCAGCGCCTCAGCAGCTCTGGTGGTGGAAACAAAAGGTCCTTCCAACCCTGGAAGCATCAGCAGCCACCTGGACAGCGGATGCGGCAAGACGGCGTCTTTGCTGTCCCACTTGCAGAAGAGGCGGGAGGAGATCAGGAAGACGGACGTGACCCACGGGGCTTTTGACTCCACGTCTGCCCAGCCTTACCCCGTGGCAGAAGGGTTGTCTGGCCTCGGCTACGGCCTCTCCCGGGATTACGAGAGGGCAGCTGGACTTGCAGCCAAGGGGGCCCGCAACGCCGCCTTCGCGGCGCTGACCCGCACGTGCAGCGTGACGGAGGGGAAGCACGCCAAGCTGAGCTGCTACGTGACGGGGGAGCCCAAGCCGGAGATCGTGTGGAAGAAGGACAACGAGGTCATTTTGGAAGGGCGGCGGCACGTCATCTACGAGGATGACCAGGAGAACTTCGTGCTGAAGATCCTCTTCTGCAAGCAGGTGGACAACGGGCTGTACACCTGCACCGCCTCCAACCTGGCAGGGCAGACCTACAGCTCGGTGCTTGTCACTGTCAAAGGTGGGTGCTTCCATCTCTCACCAGGGTGGTGATGCCTTTGAGGAGGCAGCCGGTGCGTCTCTGAATTGGGGTGGGAGCATCAACAACACTTCTGCCACTGATCTAAGGAGCACTCCTCTCTAAGGAGCCCTGTTCAACCTGTTCTATGAGTCATAGAATCATAGAACTACTCAGGTTGGAAAAGCCCCTTGGGATCCACGAGTCCAACCATCATCCCCACTCTACAAAGTTCTCCCCTAAACCATCTCCACCAACACCACATCCAAGCAATCCTTAAACACATCCAGGGATGGTGACTCCACCACCTCCCTGGGCAGCCTGTTCCAGTGTCTGACCACTCTTGCTGTGAAAAAATAAAATCCTCTGGTTGTAAAGGGGGTTGAGCACTGGAATAGGTGCCCTGAAGAGAGGGTCTCATTACTGGGGGAGGTTTAGGAAGGGCAATAAATGCGCACTGGTCAGGGATGGATGATGTAGAACCAGGTGGTTGTGAGGCAGCTGGGATGAACCAGGTCTCCAAAGCTCCCACCCAGCCTGTTTTTACAGTAATCTTAGAGATCTGGTACCATCCTCCTGATCAGTGACTGTGAAGCCCCATCTTACCCTCCAGGCTTTGGTCACATCCTGGTTTGCATTCACCACAGGGGTTAGCTGAGCTGGCAGACATGCCAATAAAGTGGTAGTAGAAGAAACTCCTCCCCCCCTAGTTGAGTGTCTCAGGTTGCCTTTGGTCCCCTGGGGGACCTACTCCAACTTTGATTACAGTCCATCTCACTTTTTCTGTATGGAGTGACCAACCAGCAGCCTTGTTGTTGCCAGGCTCTTCAGCCTTTCCCCATCTTGTGTTGCTGGATAGCCTGTAGTCCTTGTATGCTTCCAGAACTCTACCAGGTCTGTGATGCCTCTGTTGTGGTCAGCGGTGAAGAACTTGCCTTCAGAGAGTCCCTCAGTGTGGGTGGCGATCAGACCAGCTTCTTCAGAATGGCAACAAAAGTGTAACACACATATTTTCACAAAGGCAACTCTATGTTTTCAAGCTGCTCTCCCACTTGGCAAGGTTTCAGCAGGCAGTTTGCCACCCAGGGAGCGCCTGGAAATTAACTCCCAGGTGTAATTCTCAAAGGCTTTGCCATTTTGAGTGACAAAATAGATGGTTTTGACTTCAAGCAAAATAAATTAGCAATCCAAATTAATAGGAATGGTCTGTGCTTCGTACCCAGCTTTAAGAGTCCCAGATTTTATTTGGTTTTCTAGTTTCCCTTTTGTGGACCTTTCCTCTCAAACTCACCATCTTTCCCATGAATGACTCAGTCCCCATCTCCCTCAGTGACACTGGATTCATGGAACTCACTGATGCTTGTCCCACTCATTGCTATCTAAGGTGCAAGAGTGATGCTGGGAAGGGAGTTTGTCCTCTTCCATAAAGCCATGATTACATCATGAGTTGGGACTCAGAGCTGAAGACCAAACTTGGCCCTTGGGTGGGTGGTTCACTTTGAGGATGGTCCAAGGTCTGTTACTTGCCCAGAACTTGTCTTGCAAAGACAAACACCCTCTCCCTCTGCCCTTGATTATTTCATTATTCTCAATGGGGGCAGCTGGTTCCAAAGGAGATCAGGAAAGCATGTGAAGCTGCAGGTCTGGGAGCAAATATCATGGGAAAAAGTTATTCATCAATGTCCATTGTCAAGAGATGCCTGTGAGTCAGAGGGCTTAAGTGGAAATGTTTATGGTCTGTTGCTTTGTTACCATGTTGGGCTTTCTGAGATGGGTCCCATGGAAAATCTATCTGTGTTGGTTATAAATAGGCCCTGAATGACTCTTCTTTGTGTCACCAGAAGTCCATCTTGAGCCTCCAAAGATGGCTCAGAATGATGTAGCAGTGAAGGGAGCTTTTAATTCTGCTGTTTATGCCATTGCTGATGCCATTAGCTCCTTTGCCATTGGGCTTAGGGAGGTCACACAACCTGCTCTTTGCTCAGTCATGCAGAAGAAGGTAAATTCTCCAGGCAGCCACCCTTGCTAAGCACCATGATGGTGAGTTGGTCTTTCTGTGGGTAACAGAATGTTTGTAGAGTCTGTGACACTGTGGGCACATCCACAGTGTGTGTCCACAGACACAGGTACTGGGATGACATATTTCTTCCCCAAAAGGGTTGTCAGGCCCTGGCCCAGGCTGCTCAGGGCAATGGTGGAGTTCCCGTCCCTGGAGATGTTTAAAAACCATGTAGATGTGGTGAGGGACATGGTTTAGTGGTGGCCTTGACAGTGCTGGGTTAATGGTTGGACTGGATGATCTTAGAGGTCTTTTCCAACCAAAGTCTTTCTATGATTCTATGTCCCTAGGCCATATGTAAACTTAGCAAGAACAGCACACAAGGCTCCATCTTTTGGCCTGGACCAAGCAATGTTCATCTGAGTCCCTGAACACAGTAATCAGATACTGTGTGAAAAGGTTAGAGGTTACAAGCCAGGATAGAGACTGGGTAAACAGGCTGGTGCTGAGGCCACTTTGTTCTCCTTCTGACCTGAAGTGGTTTTGGATGACCACTGTCATGGTAGTCACATCTGAGATCTGAAAGTGAAGTTTAAAAACATGGAGGTGGAAAGGAAACTTGGAGAGCACAGTAGCTGGGAAGAAGACTAAAGGCACAAAGTGGTGGAAGCTTGTCCAGGCACCTTTAGATTCCTACAGCAGATCACACAGAAACGTGTCCAGGGGGGTTTTGAATGTCTCCAGAGAAGGAGACTCCACAACCTCTCTGGGCAGCCTGGCCCAGGGCTCTGTCACCTTCACAGAAAAGAAGCTTTTCCCTATGTTTAGGTTGAAAATTGCAGGGCAGAAGCCTGAGCTGCCTGCTGGTTGAAGGATGAAGGATAATTAGCACGTAGAGCGTGGTCAGAGCAGGTGTGTGTAACTGTAGCAAAGGCTTTTAAGGGCAGGACTTTGGTTTGCCTTGATTGAAGTGTGTTCAGGCAAAACATTTTTTAAGAACATAACCAAGTTTATTTTAAGAAAATTTAAGAAAATAACCAAGGTGAGCAAGAGTCACCTTCCTGTTCCTGAAGGGATGCTTCCCAGTCAGGTTTTCATCTTGGTATAACAACCCAGGTAGCAGATAATATTGCTCCTTCCAGGTGTCCTGTCTGGCCCTTAAAGTCTGGTATCTCTGTCCAGACTGTGCTCAGCTAGGAGCTGCTGGAACTGTTGATGTGACAGCTGCAGTTGTGGCTGTGCCTCTTCTCTTCTGAAGAGAAGATCTGTGGAGCTGAATGCTTGGGTTTCTAGGGCTCGAGTTGAGAAAAGAACAAACCAGATCAAAAATAGGAGGTCTTCTGTAGGAGCACTTGTCCTAATGATGGAACAGGAGGGGACAGCTAATGGACTCAGTTATATGCTGAGCTACCAGATCTGGATTTTATCACACGAGTGCTCCTGGACATCACAGTTTGGATGTGGGATGTTTGAGGGCCTAAATTTTGAGCAGGAGGTGCCACAGTGGGCATGGGCTTTTAAGTCTAAGGCAAGTCTACTCATGTTTGACTCTTAGACTAACCCTTGGCATTATGGATTGCTAGTGACCACGTGAAATTACCATCCCGGGAGTTTGTGAGTGATCAGAGAGAGGGAGAATGGAGGTACAAAAAAAAGGCTGGGAGCTGATGCGGTAATTATTAGAAGGTGAAGGTACATGTCAAGACATGATGTCTCATGAAGCATGAGTGGAGATGCATCAGCACTGACTAATCCAAGCTTGTGACATGACCGTGGCACCAGCCCTGTGGCTGTGACCACCATCTGTCCTCTTCAGTCCAGCTCCCCTTTCTCCAATTCAGTGCTGGGGTATCAGGATGATTTCACAGTGCAGCTGTCGCTGGAATTAAACATTGTTCTGTTCATAAAACGCCTTCCCTCCCTGTTCTGCAGCTGTTTTGCACGTGGGATCTACACTCTGGTTTCTCCCTCAGCCAGGGCACTGCAGCCCCACTGCTGGAGGAAAGCAGAGAGAGTCAGGGGACTTGGGCTCTTTCTCTAGTTCTTTTCTTGTCATTGACAGAAGCTGATGCAGCCTTTGGTGCTGGTGGGGAGAACAGAGAACTCCTCCATCAGTTACCCTGTGCTTTCCCCCACATCTCTCCCTCTGTGCACAGCCACTTCCAATCTTCCTCTGCCCTTTCAGACCAGCTCACCTCTTCTGAGCTCACGTCTGCTGTGAGACCCCGAAAACATCAGACCAGCTCAGCTGCTCGTGCCCACCTAGCATTGCTGCCCTGGGCTCTCTCCCCACGACCAGCTTGTTTGTTATTTCCCCAGCTGTATCATTCCTTTCAAGGGCTTTTACTCCATCCTGCAGTGGCTGTTACTACCTGTAGAGTCAGCCTGGGAGGAGCCTGCCCTTCATCTTGTCAGCACTAAATGACAAGGTGCGATGCAGAAATGTTCATGCTAGAGGACAAGCAGGCTACAAGAGCAGAATTCATTAACCTGATTAGTTAACCAACTACTTTTGATTAGAGACAACTCCTCTGTGGGGCAGGCACTGCAGTTCAGACTGACACTGCTTCATTTTTGTCTAAGTCCTTAAAAACCTGTTGGGATCTAAGATTTATTCACGTTAGAGCAGAACACCTACAGTAAGTAGTAGGGCTTAATGATGAGTTTCAATGGCAGCTCAAGACAAATCCACATAATTAACAAGCACTGTTGCTCTTGAGTCTTTTTCTATGGACTCATTTATTTGTGCAACTCTCAGCACAGACCATCATAAGCTCCCGTTTCTCCTTTTATCCTTTTCAGAGCCTTCAATACCCTTCAAGAAAAAGCTGAAGGATCTTGAGGTGAGGGAGAAGGAATCTGCCACCTTCCAATGTGAAGTACCTGTTCCTAGTACAGAGACAGCTTGGTTCAAGGAGGAAACCAAGCTGCAGCAGAGCACCAAGTACAGCATCGAGGAGGAGGGCACGTACCGCCGGCTCACGGTGCAGAACGTCACTGCAGATGATGATGCTGTCTACATCTGTGAGATGAAAGAAGGGAGCAGGACCATCGCTGAGCTGTCTGTCCAAGGTAGGAATGGCTCTTTGTGTTTCAGATTGGCCAAGTCTTGCTCGCCAAGCGTGGGGTTCATGGAGGAAAGGATGGGCCTTTGCCCCACGCACGCCTGGGGTGAAGGGCAGCAGACTCTCCTGGTGTGAGAGGAGAGACATGTGTGGTTGGTCAGTGGGTCCCTGGGTTTCCTGCCTGGGTGTATCTGGCACATGGGGACAGAGAACATGGACAGATTGTGTTGCTTCACAATATACATCACGTGCTGGGGACCCGTGCCTCAAGGAGCTTCCTAGAAGTCCTTTAGCTGCAGCCTAGCACTGTAGACTTCCTTTAATGTGATCACAAGCACCAGATGTGTCCCTTACCACAGTCTCACACACATCCTGTCTGGTGTCTGGCAAACACAATGGTGAACCTTGTCCAAGGGTGGTGCAGACCACACTGGGAAGCTGGCTCAGCAGCTGTGGCTTATGGTCCATGTGTGGTGCAGGATGTGTTCAGCACCAGTATGGTTTGGGATTGGTAACCAGATCCCTGCTTTGGATCCCTGACAGCTGGAGCTGTTCTCAGGAATTTGGAAAGCTGATGAGAAAAGGGCAAAATGTGGATATAGATTCATGCTCAAGCCTCTGAATCTAGTGGTTTAGGACAGAAGGGCCAACTAGGTGTAGAGCCTGGTATGGTGTAGGTGTCTCACAATGAGTAGACACACACACCAGGGGTGTGAAAATGTCTGCAGAAGGAGCCGTTGGTTCTGAGCTCCCTGACTTTCTGTATGAGCAACATCCTACCTGTGCAACCCCAGGTCCTGCAGTTTTGATTTTGATTATGGTTATCATAGAGTGGTTTGGGTTGGATGGGACCTTTAAGGGTCATTTAATCCAACTCCCCTGCAGTGAGTAGGGACATCCTTGACAAGGTCAGGTTGCTCAGAGCCCTGTTCAACCTGATCTGGGGTGCTTCCAGGGATGGGGCTTCTATCACCTCTCTGGGCAACCTGTACCAGTGTTTCACCACCCTCAGCATAAAAAATTGCTTGCTTATTTCTGGCCTGAATCTTATGCTGGTATCATTGACATGTCTCCTGTTGCATATTGCTTGCTTATTTCTGGCCTGCTGGTATCATTGACATGTCTCCTGTTGCATCAGTTGGAGACCTTCCATAGCTACAGGATTGCACTTGTCCTGACTCATTTGAAACCTGACTTTATTCCCAGTTAAACCAGAAGCTTTTTGCAACATAAATTGGTGCAACACAGCTGGCTGACCTGCATCCTTTTGCAGATTCCTTTTTGTATCAGTAGCAAAGAGCTGAGAGTGCACATGGGTGGAGGCACTGCAGGTGTGTTTGGCCAAGATGGGGCAGCTGGTATTTAATTGTGTGTGCCATGGTACTATGACATGTTCCATTAAAAAAGAAGAGTGACTAGACCAGGTGGAGCTCTCAGGAGGCAATGGAGGCAGAGCCTTGCTGGGAGAGCCTCTGTCTGCACCAGGGGGAGAAGATTGGAGAAAACAGGGTGAGGTTGGGTGAAAGTGAGAGCTTGGCAGGATGCAAAGGGCTGCAGGGATGGAGACAGTGCTGAGAGCAGCAAGGAACAAACATGCAGCCAGGCTTTGGAGAGGATGAGCAGAGAACTGGGATCTTGAATCCTACTGAGGGACCATGTGCCAGATCTGTTGCTCCATGAAGGACTTCAGCATTGCTTCTTGTTACGTAGCTCTAGGTGCTTTGCCTAGATCAGGGCTTTTTTACCTTACAGGGATTATCCCAAGGCTGGAGCCAGTCCCCAGCTGTCCACAGGGATGGCCTTCTGATGCTTTGTCCAAGCTTTCCTGTGAATTGTCACATCTTGTAACTTTGGGTTTATTTTAGTAAGTGATAATCGTCACAGTCACTTGGAAAGGACTCAAATGCTTCACATTCTATGTGAATTTCTGGGTTGACTCCAAGAAGAAACTGGAGTTTTTCAGTGCATTTTTTTGTCAATACAGGGGACTGGTTTGTTTGCAGTCTTGGGCATGTGAATTTGATGGAGGCAGAATCCCAAAAAGAGATGAAAGACCTGTCTGGTTTAAGAATGACCTACTGTAGCAAAGTTTTAATTTGAATTCCCAGCATATGCAGGCAATTAAAGTTGTGTTACTGTCAAACCTGCTCTTGGCAAGACCATGTACCCTGTGTTTAGGCAAGAGCAGACTCTGCATAGTGGGGAAGAAACATGAGTGACTCTAGTAGAACAAGATTGCTTTTCCCTCTTTGAAGGCCAAAATGAATCCTTGGGATTATCTGTTCTGTATAACTCAGAGCCTGGGAATTCATTTAGGGATGTCTGTGTAGTGTCTACAATGTTTTGATGAGGTGAGAGCTGTTGGTTAGTCCTGTCATAGCCTGGATGGTCCAGTGTTGCCAGAGACTTTAACATCTGCCGTTTGCTGATCCTAATCAATTTCTTATTTAAAGGGAACATCGTTAAAAAGCTTCCACGGAAGACTGCAGTTTTCCTAAATGATACAGCCATCTTCTGTGTGGAGCTGGACAGTGAATGCCAGAACATCCAATGGCTGAAAAATAAAGAGGAAGTGAAACCCAGCGACCGAATCTCCATCACGTGCTCTGGGAAGCAACACACCATGATCATCCGAGAGTGTAAGATGGAAGATGCTGGTGAGATTGTCTTCCTGGCTGGTGAAAGCAGGACTTCTACCCAGTTCACTGTGACCAGTAAGCTTTGCTTTTATCTGGCCTTGATGTTGGGTCTTCCTTAGCTGGCAGGTCCTCCCATGTTAGGTCTGTTGTTTTAGGTGCTGCCAAGGTAGGTTTGGTGTCCTAGGACAGCAGAAGGTTTGATGTTGGCCACAAAAAGCAAACAGCCTGAATGACAGTGTTATGAAATGTGGTAGAGAGATCAAAACAGAGAGAGGAGAGTCCTGGGGAAACAGCAGGGCATAAACATGTGTCTTCTCCTTACCAACCTCATTTTGTGCTGGAGTGGGTGCAAACTGGTAACTGAGTAAAACATGGGGTGAGGGACATGCATGTTCTCCTCATCAAGAGGTGTTAGAAAACATCACATAAGTTGCATAAGTCATTTCATTGTACACAGAGCTCTGTGTGTCACCTACTCCCTGACCCCCACCTTCCAAAATAATTAGTTTATCTGAGGAATATTTATCAGTTCTTGCTCTGGGGATAGTTCTTCTAGCAAACAGGGGCCATTTATCCCTCCTGCTCTCTCTTTGCTGAGGATTTGGAGGGGAGAGTCAGCCAATGTTCAGTTCCTGCCCTAGGTCTTCAGTCTGCAGAGACCTGAGGGTAGCTTGTGGGTGTGCTGGCTGTGACAGGGAAGTAGAGAGGTGCCCTGGATATTTTTTGTCAGAATATTTCCATTCTAGCAAGCAAAAACATCTCTAGAGGAACATCTACACACACACAAAACATTTAAAGGGCAGTTAAAAGTTCACCAAACTTTGATTTTAGCTTCTTAAGCTGTTTGCATCCAAGTATAATATAGTAATATCAATATGAAAAACCCTGCAAGAGAAAGGGGAGATGTTTCCTCCTGAAGATATAGTTTCCTTCCTTCTGTGGAGACCAGCAGAGCTGTGTCCTCTCTCATCCTTTGACACGACAAAGCTGTCAAGACCCTGTGAAAGTAGCGATGGTGGAAGAAGGGACCTTTGTCTTGATCACCTTTGCTTGGGGGCACTGACAGAAGATGCAGGCTGGAGATTCCTTCAGCTGGCACATCTGATCTGAGCAAGGGTTTCTGCAGAGAAAGCAGTAGCAGCAGGTGCAGTGTCAGTGAGATTGGACCCAAAATGAAATTCTGATGAAGTGGCCTGATTTTATGAACTTTTGTGTTGATAGCATTGCCTTTTCTGGGCAAAAGCTGCTTCATTTAAGGCAGAGAACTGCGTGTGATTTCTGGCTCTTCTGCAGTTCCAGTTTCCATTGTTCAAGTCCCCAAGTCTAGTCACCATTTGGGAAGAATAATTCTTCTTTTCTCCCACTGCCACCTCCAAATCACAATTACTGAGCAGTAAAAAGCAATCTTTGAATAAAGGTTTATAACTGCTGTGTTGTCTAAACTTGGCTGGGGCATTCTGATGCTACTGAGACAAAATGAGGAAAAAATGGGGTGTCACACTTAGCTTTGTGGCAGTTTCCAAGGTATTTGGAAACATTTAATGTTCAGCCAAGTGCCTATTCCACAGGAAAAGCAAAGTTCTGGTTGATTTTGGACTCTGCTCTTTAATCTATGAATCGAATGTTGATTCATGGAATAGTAAAAGAGAAGGAGCTGCCTTCCCACAAACAGGAATCTCTGAACAAAATATTACATTACAGTTTCTGATGGTAAGGTCAAGAGATCTGATTCCAGGGTCTAGTGTCCAGCTTAATACTGCACTAATGGAACCTTTGGTGTCCAGCTCTGACCAGCAGTAACTGACAGGCTGGTAACTCTGCACCCCCAACCACCCTGTGTCTATTTGTGCAATGAAGGAAAAGAATATCACATTGAGATTTCCTATTTTTACACTTTGTGCATGTCTGATTGTCTGCTTGAAGGATCCTGTGTACTATATTCACTTTTTTTTTTTTTCCCAATTAGCTGGACAGATCAGTGTTGCCTGCTTTTGTATCATTTATCAGGCAAACAATGTTAATATATGATTTGCTCAGTATCTTATATTGTTACCACTTCAGCTTTAAAGGTGGGCAAACCGAGGCAGGGAGATCAGTTGTGCCAGAGTTTGGTTTTTGGTCTAGGCCCATTGTACAGGCTCCCTTTATAGTCATGAATACTTGAGTATCTGCACTGTGTGACTCATTTCACCTGCCTCACACACCTTCTTTAAGCTGGATGAATTGCTCCTCAGTGTGTCCTCCTTGGGATTCCAGTTGGAGTCTCGTTGACTGACTTAAGCCAGACACCCAAAATTAAATGAAATGAATCCTTTCACATGTCAGTAGATATGTAACTAGAGCATACCAGGTAATTCCTGGCTTCTTGACAGTATCAGTGGCAGCACATAATAAATAACCCTGGTGGGACTTGAGCATTCTCTAAGGGGGTTCAAGAGGAATGAGAGAGTGAACGTAAATCTTCATTCTGTAAAAACCTGCAGGGCTACATTTGAGAGCTCAGGTACTGTTAACCAGCCACATCTTCTCAACTGTAGAGCCTGATGGGGAAAAATTTCTTGGTCATTTCCTTTTGAAGTTAATTCCCCATCCCCAAAAGCTGTGTCTGTATAACTTGCTAAAACAGAGATCCCCAAGGGTGGCTGTCAGTCTTGGGAGACAAAGTTACAACCCACCTTCTGAGTGGGGTCAATGTAAAACAGAGGAGTGATACCCAGAGGAAAGTGGCTGGAGAGAACAGCCAGGCCTGTGTAACAAGCAACTGAGATCTCCATAACTCTAAAACCCAGGCACTGTTTGTTCATGTCTATCTTTTCTTTCCCAAATAATAGAATCATTCTGGTTGGAAAAGACCTCTAAGATCATCCAGTCCAACCATTAACCCAGCACTGCCAAGGATACCACTAACTCGTGTCCCTCAGCATCATATCAACGTGGCTTTTAAGCATCTCTAGGGATGGTGACTCCACCACTTCCCTGAGCAGGCCTGACAACCCTTTTGGGGCAGAAACATGTCATCCCAGTTGTACAAAGTTTAGCTGCTCTGTGTTGAAAACTGCCGAGGATCTGGATTGACATGTTGTAGTGTATGGTTGGAACAGGTTCTCAAGAAGAAATGGAGGACAGGCTCAGACTGAGTGGGCTTACATTTGTGCCCAGGATGCCACCCCTGTGTGTGAAACACTGCAAAATATTGCCACACTCTTCCTTGATGCAGTGGTGCCTTGACATACATTGGTTCTCTCAGGCACGTGTATATTCCTGCCTGTTGGGATGGGGATGGTTGAAATTCTGACAGAAATACCAGGAGATCTGCAATATCAGTGTAACTATCCCTGTGCAATGATGTCTGGTAAACAGGACAAAGTTGTGCCACCTTGCCAGAGTAATCCCATTGAGATGTTTTCATTTTAATATTTTTTTTTTTTTCCACCTGGGTTCACACCAGGGAAGTGGAGCAGGAATTGGGGGCACAGAATTTTGCACAATCTTTGAGGGTGGCTTTACCCATCTTCTGAGTGACAATAACAAGCTGAGAGTTGGTCTGCTTTGCCCAGGAGATTCACAGGATGTGGTGTGGGTCTGTATCTGGCACTGAAGATTTCAGCTTGTGAATTGCTCATTGTAGACTCTTGGTGCAAGACAATTGCAATATTGTGTAGAAACCACATATGTTGAGCTGTGGAGGTAGGAACATTGTACGTCTTTGTGTAATGGATCCCCAAAGCATCTCCTACCCATTCACTTGCTTTTTCCATCCCACATCAATGTTTTGTGAAAGTTTGTTAAGCAAGAGCAGCATTTAGTCCAGCATAAGCTTTCTGGGGAAGGCGGGGTGGCTTTTCCACTCTGCCATAAAAATCTTGCTCTGTTTTGACTTCCATTTGTTTGATTCTTTCTTTTCGACTTGTGCAGCTCCCAAAAAACCTCCCACCCAACCTCCAGCTGACCCTGTGGTGAAAAATAAAACAGAAACCTCAGTGACACTGGCATGGTCCCCTCCGAAGATGAGCCGCCCCGTCCCGGTCGATGGCTACGTGGTGGAACGCAAGAAACTGACTGGCTTCACCTGGGTGAGGTGCCACGAGTCTCACGTCCCTGTCACAGAGTTCACAGTCAACAACCTGTCAGAAGAGGCTGACTATCAGTTCAGAGTGTCTGCAGTCAACACCTACGGGCAGAGCCCCTACCTGGAGTTCCCGGGGAGCATGCGCCTCGGTGAGCACAAAACCATCACAAAACTGGTCCTTCTGGGCCCATCTGCCACATGGGGGCTTCTCAGGATGTTTCCCATGACTTTGAGGAGGGTAGACTTGCACAACAGAACCCCTTTTTCCCTTCGGGCTAGTTCTTCTGTCTCGTTTCAGCCAGCTGAGCACCACCTCAGCGGTGGCGGTTGGTGCTGCTGTGGTAGAGCTGTGAGATGCTCCAGTGTCTCAGCTCAGGTTGTGTGAGAGGCAGAGCTCTCTGCAATGGGCTGTGAGCCTGGAAGTGCTGCTCCTAGACCTGCTATGAAAGGAAAAATTGAGGTGGGCTTATAAAACAATTTTCAATACAGAAAAGAGATACCAAACACATACAGAATATTCAGGGGTGATCCTTGTGTCCAGTTCTGGAGCCCTCAATGCAGGAAGTACATAGACCTCTTGGAGAGAGTCCAGAGGAAGACCAGAAAAGATGATGGGAGGGCTGGAGCAGCTCTGCTCTGGAGCCAGGCTGGGAGAGTTGAGGTGTTCAGCCTGGAGAAGAGAAGGCTCCAGGGAGACCTGAGAGCAGCTTCCAGTGCCTGAAGGGGCTCCAGGAAAGCTGGGGAGGGGCTTGGGACAAGGGCAGAGAGTGAAAGGACAAGGAGGAATGGTTTTAAGCTGGAAAAGGATACATTTAGGGTAGATATTAGGAATAAATTATTTCCTTTGAAAGTCGTGAGACCCTGGCCCAGGTTGCCCAGGGAAGCTGTGGCTGCCCCATCCCTGGCAGTGTTGAAGGGCAGGTTGGATGGGGCTTGGAGCAACTTGGGCTGGTGGGAGGTGTCCCTGCCCATGTAGGATGTTTGGAACTGGATGATCCTTAGTGTCCCTTCCAATCCAAACCATTCTATGATTCTATGATTATTTTTTTTCTATGATACTGTCATGAAAACCAGGTTCTAGTCAGTCTCTCTTGAATTTTAGAGTTGCTAGGAGAAATATGGGTGTTTTACTTGATTTTTAAGATGTTAGTGTGCCCATAGACTCACTGTAAGCAATGAGTTTGGTTCTTTGCTTTGATTCGTTGCACTGGACAACAACTGCACAGACCTTAATTATACTTATTGTGTCTTCATTTTCCTCAGGTATCTGAACATACCTGTGTTTCTTTAGAATATCTAGAAGTGACTAGTGGGCTGGGTGACCTCCTTAGGATCCTTCTGAAATCTAAGGATAACTCAGGTTATTAAATAAACAGCTCACTTGTTTCAGGTTTGTTTTGCCTTTAGGGAAAAAAAAAAAAAAAAAAAAGTAAATATACCTGTTGTTTTTTCCCTGTAGAAAGAGGAGTTACCCTCATGCTAGAGGTTACCTGCAGCAGTAGAAATCTGCTCCTGTTGACCAGCTGTGCATTGTCTTCAGTGCATGCAAATTGTATAAGGCTGCAGGATGTTATTCTCATGTCTTGTTTACCCCCCAAAATTTCAGAGAATCATGGAATGCCACGTTGGAAGGGACCTCAAGGGTCATCTGCTTCAACATTTCTAGGTAGAAACCTGGTTTAGGTGAGATGGCCCAACACCCTGTCAAGCTGAGTCTCAAAAGTGTCCAGTGTTGGGTAATCCACCACTTTTCTTGGGGAGATTACTGATGTCTGACTATTCTCATAGTGAAAAATGTTCTTCTGGTGTCTGCTTTCTCAGGAAGAACTGTTCTCCAGCATGGCAGCCTTGTGTCCTTTGCTCTCAGAGATATGTGTTGTTCTTCTTCCCTAGAACCTGTCCTGGCTGTGAAAACCCCACTAACAACTGTTGAAGCTGTACCAGGAGGAGATGCCCTGTTTACTCTTGACCTTACAAAGATGTGTTCTGGCACTTGGTACCTTAATGGTAAAGTCTTACAGGAAAGTGAGACGTGTATCATTAAGAGAACTCAAAATACTCACACCCTTATAATAAAGAACGTCACCAAAAGCCATGATGGAGCAGAAGTAAAATTTGTTGCCAATAATATTGACACCAGCACCAAGATGAGAGTGAAAGGTATTTATTTTGATCATTGTCCTTTCTTCTTCCAGTCAAAAGGCAGTTGTTGTGACCTGATGATGAGAAATGGGGCTGGAGGGCTTTCACTGTTGCCTGGTCTGTAGGAAGTACCTGGAATTGCATCATGTGAACTAACATGGGTCCTGGTACTGACCTCACCACAACAATACAGAGGTCAGAGTTTGTCCAGCTGGTTGGTATCTGAACAAGGCTGCTTAACATCAGCTCATGATTTTCTGTAGTTCATGGCCATCAGTCCATGGGTTCTGTCACCAGATCCACCACTGAGCCACCTTAAACCAGTAACTTCACCTCCAGGTTCGGCCAGTCTTTCTGACTGTAGAAGAGCCTTTCAAAAGTAAAGGATCATGAATTACTAACAATGTGCTTGTTTGTTTGTTTCTTTCTTTGTTTTTTTTTCTTGGAGGTATTTCTAGTCTACCACAGATGTGTGTTATGTGCAAGTTAGTGTCATGTAACTCAATTTAGCATTGAGAGCTGGATGCTCCAGCTTTCCTCTATTGGAATGGTGGTAAGATCTGTATCTACCCACATTGCATGGCAAAAGGTAATGACTAGACATTCATTCTGGAAGGATGTGTTTGATTTTTGGTGAAAATCCCTGCAGAAGCCTATTTAGAGTATTACTGACCAGCAGAAAGATGTGAAGTTTCTTTGTTTTTCCTCAGTGACTCAGGCAATAAACCCAATTTGGATCTCCTGAACTGGGAAGATTTGCTTGGTATTGACATGAGTGTGAGGGCAGGAGCAGGACCTAATACATTTTCCAAGATCTCAGAGTCTACAGCAGACTCATGTCAGGGACAGGTTGTCTTGATATAACTTGAAATAACAAAGCCTTTGCTCTTGGCAGGTGCTGCAGTGAGATTTACCAACAAGAGCAGAGATATAGAAAAGGTTTCTGCTCGGCTGCGGGAGGAAACCAAACTTCAGGCTGAGCTTTCAGACACAGAGGCCACTGTGAAGTGGCTGAAGGATGGGAAAGAACTCAAAGCCAATGAAAAATATGAACTGCAAACTGTGGGGAAGAGGCGCATCCTGAAAATCCACAGCACTGCAGCAGAGGATGCTGGAGTCTACGAGTGCGTTTGTGAAGAGGATAAAATGCTCTATCAGCTTTCAGTGAAAGGTACGGGACTGTCTGAGCTGCCTGTTCCTGCCCCAAGCCAACAGAGTCACCAAGGGATGGAAGGGGAGTGTTCCAGAGGCAGTGCAGGGAGCTGTGGGAACTCCCCATCAACATCTAGCTTGGACAGTGTCTGTGGTCCCAGAGCAGGAGAACTTGGGAGTGAATACAGCTGCCTCAGTGGCAAGAGCTGTGCTTTCACTGAGATTGGTGTCTTGATATTCCACAAGAACTTGGTGTTATTTCATGATATTGAATGCTGGGCAGGGAAAAGGTGCTCTTGTTATGAAGAAATTCAGGCACAGATGCATGTGATTCCCTGCCTGCCCTATAATTGCTCTGTGGTATTGGACAAGTCACTGAGGAGCCAGTTCAGCTCTGACTAAAAATCTGATGGACCAAGGTCATCTTGGCATCATGAGATATTTCTTTTTTTGTTATTTGTTTGGGTTTTCTTGTTTGCTTTCTGTCAAAAAAAGGGGGCCTACAGGAAAGCAGGGAGGGGCTTTTTACAAGAGCATGGAGTGATAGGACTAAGGGAACAGTTTCAAACTGGAAGAGAGAAGATTTAGATGAGATATTAGGGAGAAATTCTATCCTGTGAGGGTGGTGACACCCTGGTCCAGGCTGCCCAGAGAAGCTGTGGCTGTCCTATCCCTGGAAGTGTTGAAGGGCAGGTTGGATGGGGCTTGGAGCAGCCTGGGCTGGTGGGAGGTGTCCCTGCCCATGCAGGGGGGTTGGAACTAGGTGATCTTTAGGGTCCCTTCCGACCCAAACCATTCCATGAATAAGAACACACCTTTCCAGGTCATGTTGGATGGCTTAACTCATTGCTCCAGGCATTCAGATGGAAGGATGTATAAAACGAACAGCCAAATGTATTTTTCTTTTCATGTTTCCTGCTCATTAGTTTTGAACCAGCCCAGCTCTGTAGCTGTTCTGGTGTTTGGCAGGTTTTGCTTTCATGCCAGTCCCTTCACTACTGCTTGCCTGCTTTGCACCTTATGGGCACATCCAGTCCCAGAGTGAGACTTGAACCTTTACCCTGAACCGACAGCACTAAGCCTCCCTCTTACAAACCTTCCCATCTGTGCAGGCTTTGATGAAGTTCATAGGAGAGTTACCTCTGTCTTAATTGGACCAGGTTTGGCTAAAAAGCTCCAGTGTGTCCCCAGACTGTTCCTCATGGATGTTGTCTAGATATCTACTGAGGGTCAGGGTGTACAGGCTGACTCCAAGGCAGTCTTGTCTGTTGTCAGACCTTGTCTGGGATGAGCTCTGTAGCTATTTTGCTTCAAAATGGAAAATTCACTTTGTAAAGCCCTTTGGTTCCTCTGTTCTGCCCTGTAACTCGCCCCTCACCTTCTTCCCAGCAATGATCACACTGTCTCTGCGCTGAATACATACAAGGTGCTTCATCACCATGTTTTGCTGGCTTCTTGCCTTCCTTCTGGAGAAACAAAGCTCAAAGGCAGTGTGTATGTTTTGCATTTGACAACTAACTCACTTGGTCATTTGACAGCACTAAGCCTCCCTCTTACAAAAGATAAAAATAATCACTTAAAAATGTGACTACATTTATGGAAGGAGGAATTTGTTGTCTACACTTGGCAGCTGCTCCTCATTTTTGTTTTCTTTTCTGTCTCTGCCTCTTCAGCCTAGTTTTTCAAACTGGCATTGTTATTTGAAATTAGCTGATGGATGTTTCCATGTGCTTTTCACTGTAATGGGTCTATCAGATGAATAATTATGCTATTATTTTTAAATCTGTGTTGAGAAGCCGGGACGTAAATATCAGCTGTTTGCAGCTTGATTCCTGGTGAATCAGCTCTGCTGTGTGTCCTCCTGCAGGACGAAGCTCACAAATGCTGCCCCAGAATTTTGCCTTTCCCCACGTTGGTCGGGTAGATCAGACCCAGCTTGCTGGTGGGTCACCTGATGGGCTGGTCAGCTGTGCCTGGCACACGGACACCACGTGGCTGCCGAGAGGCCACCGCGCTGAGCCGCGGCCAGAGCTGTGTGACCCCCTGGGCCTCCTGCCCAGCAGAGCCCCGGGAGAAAATGCACTTGCCTTTTATCATTGCAGTCCCTCTGCTGCCACGAGGCTTCACGTGCCAGGAGTCCTCTGACACACGACCTCCTGTGTTGGAACAGGACACCTGAGAAGTCTCCTTCGGGCCGCTGGGGTTGTGTTTTTCACTCTGGTTTCCTAAGGAAGCGGAAGGTGCACGAACGAACCCTTCTCCCTCTTCTTTCTCCCACACCTTTTGATCTGTGGGCCGAGATCTCAGCATTAATGGAATTCATGTAGGTTAAATGTAGAGATCTCAGCAGTGTTCAGCCCCTGCAGGCTTCATGGGTGTAGGTGGTTGGGTGGAGGAGAGGGCTGCAGTGCTGTCCTACTGATGGGGAAAGCTTCATTGTTAGGAATCTTAAGAGAATCAAGGGGAAACAAGAAAAAGCAACAAAAAAAATCAGGTTTTCCCTGGTTTAAATGCTTTTTATTTATTTTTTTTTTTTTTCAGGTTTTCCCTAGTTTAAATGCTTTTTATTTATTTATTTTTTTAACTCATAGGCTTTGCTTCTAATAAGCAGAGGTAATAAATCCTAGAAAACAGGACTAGTAGGGACCTGGAGAGGTCAAACACAACCTCCTGTCCCTGACAGAAACTGGTGGTTGAACAGGAAACCTTGAGGAACAGAACTGGAGAGTCTCTTGGCTGCACCATCATGTCTGTCCTGTTTTTGGTTGGGTATTTCTTAGACTGGAGGAGATTTGGGACTAGGGCTTTTCTTTTTTTCTCCTTCTTACCTGTGTACTGCTTGGCAAGTCGATTCCCACTTCATATTTAGGTCTTCAGAGACTCTGCCTGACTGTGCAAGCGGGTGAATATTGGTTCCCTACCGAGTATTTGTCTGTAATTAAAAGCTCTGCCACGGACTTTGAGAAATCTAATGTACTGAAAAGCAAGGAAAATAAATATAAAACACTTGGTAGGATGTTTGAGCTGCAGGAGAAGCCCCACGTGTTGCACCTGGATGTACCACTGATAACACCTTGAGAACAGGAGTCTGAGAGAGTCACACTTAGCTGGTCCAGACCATGGGCTGTAATTTCTTGTTACAGTGCCAGGGGTGAAAGCTGATGCCTTTGCCAGGCATCTTGCAAAGAGTTGTTAATTTGTATTGCTCAAGCATGTTCTTGAAATGAAAGAAAACCCCCAAACATAATCAAGGCTTTGGTTTCAGTAGCTTTGACTGCACAGTCCCAGCAAAGTGATTCACTTGCGTGTGTTGGTTTAAAGTAACATGCTAAGGAGAGGTTTAAAAATTAATTCCATTGCCTAAAATAAGGTGGTACTGTGATTTTAAGCTTTCATTTTTAATTAGGGTATTGGTGGGTTTTTGACTCTTTGCATTGAGGCAATTGGTGACTTAATTATTCCGCGGTGTCTCAATATGGTGCCAGATTTATTGTTTATCTTCTATGATCCTGTGAATTGACAGGAAGAAATTTCTTTCTATTTCAGTCTTACGTGCTATCTGTTTAGATTTTTCTTTTAATATAATCTGATTTACCTAGATTAAATTTTAACCTCTTTTAGAGTAGATTTATTTGCCCGGTGGTTACAATAGAACGACTGAATAACTTTCATTTCTTTCCCTTCAGTTCCTCTGTTTCATTTCTTCCCTCCACTCTTCTGGGTGTTTTCTTAAAGCCCTATTGCTGAGGGCTTCCTCAGCCTAGTGTGTTGTGTGTGTGCTCTGGGTTTTGGACATGTGATAATCAAGTCTATGGTTTCTAAAGGCTGGAAATTTGACTGCTTCTGCATTTGAACCTATTTATTAGATCCATATTAGAGCCATTAGGTCTTATGAATACATAATGTCTACACATTTTTTTTTACCAGTGCTGTGGATATATATTGTCATAGAATCATAGAAGGGTTTGGGTTGGAAGGGACACTAAAGATCATCCAGTTCCAACCCCTTGGATGGGCAGGGCCACCTCCCACCGGCCCAGGCTGCTCCAAGCCCCATCCAACCTGCCCTTTAACACTGCCAGGGATGGGGCAGCCACAGCTTCTCTTGGTAACCTGTTCCAGTGTCTCACCACCCTCAATCTATATTTTGTTTCAGCACTTGCAAGCTTCATAAACAAAGAGAAAAGTGGAGGAGTTATCAGGGCCACTGCTGGAAAACAGGCTGAATTTTTTTCTGAGACCTCAGAGGCCAATATCGTGGTTAAGTGGTACAAAGAGGGCAAAGAAATCACAGCCAGTAAGAAATTCACCCTGGAAGATAAAGGGAAACTGCATAAACTTGTGGCTTCAGCTGTGACAAAAGAGGATGAGGGAACATACACATGCAAAATTGGAGATGACACTCTTACGTTTGATTTAAAAGTCTCAGGTAAGTTTGTGCTGCAAGTACGGGATCAGAGTCTGTGTTAGAAATTCAGGACTGATTTCATGATACTGGTTTTACCACGTGAATCGCCAGATTTTGGGGCCAAGATTGCACAGGCCTATTTCAAAGTCTGTGCCCCTTGCTGCCTCCACACCAGGATTGGTGTTTCTGCAAATCCACAAGGTGGGCAAATAAGATAATGATGGTGTTATGTATTACAGCCAGCACCAGCTTTTAATAGCTTTTAGTAGCTTTTAATAGCTTTTAATGACTCAGACACCACGCTGGCTGAAGAAGCTGAGAGCCACATCTGGCCTTTACTCTCTTAGCTTGGCATGCACATTATCTTTGAACCTCCTGATAAGGTGGTCCTAAAGTCTTCCTTTGAAAGCCCTATGTCCTTCTCTGTCAAGTCGAATTCCTGATTTTGGGAGTTGAGCCTCTCCTGCTATTCCCAAAGGACACTGTGATCTCTGAGACATCTCCCTGCAGCACTGTAAGTGAAGCCATTCCTTCATGGCACAAGCCCACCAGCACAGAGCACGTGTTAAGGCACGTGGCTGCCAGGTCAGTCCCAGAAGAGAAGTGCTTGTCACTGGGGCATTCCAGTCCAGGATGGAGCCAAGAATATAAAATGACACAAGAATTTATCTGTGAAATTCTATATTTGTGAAATTCAGCTGATTCTCTTTGCATGGCCTGGTGGGAACATTTCTTCTTCTGAAAGTGGTTTTCTGGCTTGTGCCTTGAGCCTAATTTTTAAAGCAGTTGCAAGTCACAAATCGAAACCTCACTGAAGGCTTCTCATGATGTGTCCATGTGCTGCAGCACAATGCAATTTAAGAGAAGTAAACTGGGTCTTTGTCACCTGTACCTGCACACCCACGTGACCACCGTGCTGCTCACCAGCCAACCAAACCCAGCAGAGCTGGTTGATGAGCACAGCACTGAGCTTGAGGCAGGCATTGCCACGGGGTGTACTGAGCTGGGGGGATTACTTCCAGGTTACAACTGCTGTTTGCTCAGGCACTCATGCTGTGTTCAGCCTCCTGCTCCCTTTGGTTGAGAACCCAACATGATGCAATTTCACGTCGGGTCTCATTCATGGTCCCTGACTTGATAAATTGAAAAACTGATCTAAAAGAGCCCATCAGGGATGTTTAGACCATCTGATTCCTATTGTCTGATTAAAGATCATTAAGACAGAGTTGAGAAGTTCTCTGGAGCTCCCTTCCTCTGAACAGCAAGTGCAGAGGAAGCCTGTGTGACTACCTGGGTACCTAACTTCTTGGGGACCATGTTTAGGTTTAGTGGGTCCCACCTGTAACTCCTCTAACAACCTGTCCCATGGCTGAGGCAAAGAAAGGTGGTGTCTGCTCAGTAACTGTGTGTCCCCACGGACTTTTTGATAAACAAGGATTGAGTTACATCCTTTTAATAAAACCTGAGGTAGGGCAACTTGCACATGAAAAGATTCCAGAGAATCTGGAAGAAGCACTGCACAGTCAGGGGATTGGCTTAGTGCAGGGAAGTAATCTATGGTAATGAGTTACCCCATTGATCTTGAACTTCAGGACACTGAAGAGCCCATCCTTTGTAATTTAATTTAAAAAATATATTAATTCTAAAATAAATTGAATTTTAAAGTGTTTTTTCAAAATACCAGTTTAGCAGTTGGATGTGTTGGTTGTAAAGTTATTTCCCAGCCAAAATGATTCCATCATTCTATTCTAATGATTACAGTTTTTAATGAAGGATTGGTTCTCTGATGCCACAGACATGCCTGGCATGGGTGTAGCATAGCAATTGTCCTTGGGATACTGAGTGACTGAAAGCAACAGTTGCTGCTGAAAGAAATGCCATCCTAAGCTGAGGTTGGTTGTTGCTGGCAGCCACCAGCTTGCTGTGCAGGCTGGATGGCCTGAAGGGCATGAAATGCTTGACATGGTCAGGTACAGCTTGTTAGCTTGGGGACAGGCTGTGTGGGGTGGGGTTCTTCACCTCTTACACACACGGTGCCTGTCTGCACTTTTACCTTTAGAATACACTTGCAAAAAATGAGTTGATAAAAATGCTGCTTTGTCACTGCACGTGTGACATGCTCTGTGTGTGTGTGTGCACAGCTCTTGTGTGTGTGTGTGAGGGTGTGCACAGCTCCTGTGTGTGTGTGAGGGTGTGCACAACTCCTGTGTGTGTGTGCACAGCTCCTCTGTGTGTGTGTGAGGGTGTGCACAGCTCCTGTGTGTGTGTGAGGGTGTACACAGCTCCTGTGTGTGTGTGCACAGCTCCTGCGTGTGTGTGTGAGGGGGTGCACAGCTCCTGTGTGTGTGTGTGAGGGTGTGCACAGCTCCTGCGTGTGTGTGTGAGGGGGTGCACAGCTCCTGTGTGTGTGTGTGAGGGTGTGCACAGCTCCTGCGTGTGTGTGTGAGGGGGTGCACAGCTCCTGTGTGTGTGTGTGAGGGTGTGCACAGCTCCTGCGTGTGTGTGTGAGGGGGTGCACAGCTCCTGTGTGTGTGTGTGAGGGTGTGCACAGCTCCTGTGTGTGTGTGAGGGTGTACACAGCTCCTGTGTGTGTGTGCACAGCTCCTGTGTGTGGGCACTGGTCTGTGCAGTCAGCAGAGCCCAGGCTCAAGGCATGGAAGCAGGAACCTCTCTCTACTGCTGGAGCTACATGGGTCTCCAGCAGTTGTGAGTTCTGCAGTGTGAGGTTCAGTTTCAGCAGAAAGATGGGATGGTCTTGGCTCATAAATTAACTTGATCCTGTCAAAGCTGAAGAATGAGACATTCTCACATGTACCATGATCTGGTCTGAGGAAGAATTTGTCTAGTGGGACTGACATGGCCTGAAGCTGCACCAGGGGAGGGTTAGACTGGGCATTGGAAAGAATTTGTTTACTGGAAGAGGGGTTGGACAGTGGAACAGGCTGCCCAGGGAGTCACCATCCCTGGAAGTGTTTAAAAGAAATATAGTGCTTAGTGACATGATTTAAGCACTTAATGGGTAAATTAGATTATGGTAGGGGGATTTAAGTTATAGTTGGACTTGATGATCTTCAAGGTCCTTTCCAACCAGGATGATTCTATATTGTGAATGTGGGGCTACAGGAATGGCCTCAGAAATGTGTAAAAGAAAACCCCTCATGACTTCTAACAAGATTTTTTGAGGCTGCTTAGAGCTTTTCAAAGCTGTGGACCTCAATACATGTTCCCTAGAGCTTGCTTGAAATCAGAAATAAGGAGTGGTGATTAAAGTGTCAGCAGCTTGAGGGCAGCTCAGCTTGATTTATAAGATCCAGGAGGATGTAGGAGAGATGAATGTGATTGCCCTGGGACTGACAGCAATTATCTGAAGATCAGAGAAGGACTTTGCACCATCTGTTGGGAAGACAAGCATCAACAGTCATGTGTGTGAATGAGACAGGAGCTGTGAATTAAGGCACATGTCAGGTTTTGTGGGCTCATGATGCTCGGGCAGGTTCTGCTCATGACTCAGTGCACATGCAAGTCTGGTGAGAGAAACAACCATGTCTGCTCTGTAGCAGGTTTCATGACTGACTCCCAAAAGGGAGGCACAAAATGAGAGCACATCAGGTAGATTTTGGTTATGAACCCAGGTAAACAGAGGTTTGCATTGATCTAGAAGTTAATAAAGTACTGGCTTTAATTAGTGTTAATGTCACAGTATAGGCCTAATGGGCTGATGTATAAAGGATTTGTTAATACTGAGCTCTAAACCTGGGGAACGTTCTGTATTAACTCTCTGGATGATTTGAAACTTGGACAAGGAGTTTCCTGGCTGCATCTCAGAAGGGCCTTTTCTGGAGAAGAGAAGGACCCAGAGAGACCTCACAGCAACCTTCCAGTACCTAAAGGAGTGACAGGAAAGCTGGGGAGGGACTTTTTACACAGTTTAAGGATAAGGGGTAATGGATTAAAACAGGAAAAGGGGAGATTTAGGTTAGACATTAGGAATGCATTGTTTAGGGTGAGGGTGGTGAGACATTTGTTGCCCAGGGAAGCTGTGGCTGCCCCATCCCTGGCAGTGTTGAAGGGCAGGTTGGATGGGGCTTGGAGCAGCCTGGGCTGCTGGGAGGTGTCCCTGCCCATGCAGGGGGGGTGGAACTAGGTGATCTTGAATGTCCTTTCCAACCCAAACCATTCTATGATTCTATGATAACCACAGTTTATGGCCATAACTGTTAACACTGTCAATAGTACCCCCAATAGTCACACTGCAGGAGGACCCTCACTCATGTGTACATTTACACCTCCAGAGCTGGAACTTGAGCACCCAAGTGTGGCTAGCAATTAAATAATGATCAATAATTACAGCATCTTAACTTTCTGCTGATGAGCCTGAATCAAGGCATCAACTTCTTTCTCTGTTTCTTCTAGATGAAGCTGTTAACTTTGTCAACAAACCCAAAGCCACTCCAGAAATCTCAGTCAGCCCTTCTGAAAACCTTGAGCTGGCGTGTGAGGTGTCAGCTGCGAGTGGAGCTGTGATGTGGAAGAAGGATCAAACTGAGGTCAAGCAGGACCAGAGGACAACCATCATCTCCCAGGGGACACACCGCAAGCTCATCATCAAGAAGGTGACACAGCAAGACCAAGGGAGCTACACCTGTGAAACAAAGGATGACAGGACAGCATTCCAAGTCAAAGTCAGAGGTGAGGAAAGGATAGAAATGCCAAAAATGAAAGAATATTCCATTCTGAGTAGTATCTTACATTTGGGAGGATCATCACGACCTCTCAGGTGAAATATTTCAGCCCTAGAACTAGATTTTTGGCCATCATGTCAACATTTGATACACACACTTGTGCATCCATGACCAGTTGTAACCACCAAGAAAAAAAAATGGTGGGCAAGGGTGAAAACTTCTGCACCTCTCAATATTAGATGGTGTGTCTGCAAAGAAAACCTCCTGCAGAATCAGTGTGAGGCCATAGGAGGGGTGCAGGGGTAGATGAAAGGGAAGGGGGAGGTATCTGAAGAACTCTGATTAGATGGATAATGAACGGATTTTAGTGACCCAATTGGTCAGAAAAAGAGCAATGGTTCCTGTGTGTGGGTCCACAAGGGCTCATCCCTTCTGCTCCACAGGAAGCCTGGAGATGAATAGGAGGAGAAAAGGAGAGAAGAAGGAGGAGGGTTCAGGCAGTTTGTGTTGCTGCTTTAAGTCACAGGTTCATATCTGTGATCAAATTGTGAGTTTTAAAAATGTATCTCCCAGTTCCCATACACGCATTCACCTCATGGCAGCAAAGTAGAGATGAAGGTGTGTCTGCTCTTCTTGGGCTGTCATGATACTACCAGTCAGGGTGTTCTGGTTTGAGCCAGGATAAAGCCACTTTTACTGATTTTCGCCACACATGGTGAAATAGATGGAACTTGACTAAGCACTGGAGAGGACAACTGTAAAAACCAATGTGTGACTATTGTGGCTTCTTACAGAAACAGAAGACGTGTTTACAAACAAGGAGAAGGTGCAGAAGGAGGTGAAAGCTGCACTGTCAGAAAATGCCACCCTGAGCTGCGAGGTGGCCCAGGAGAAGACAGATGTGAAATGGTACAAGGAGGGGAAACTGATCACCTCGAGCAAGAAGTTCAAGGTGGAGTCGGAGGGCAAATCCCGTCGGCTGGTGGTGGGACAGGTGGAGAAGAAAGATGCTGGGGAGTACACCTGTGAGGCTGCTGGCCAGAAACTGACCTTCAAGATTGTCACCACAGGTGGGAAACATATGTTGGTTCTCATCACAGAAAGGTCCATCAGTTCCTTTTACCTCAGAGCAAAATGAATCCCTTTCTGGGATCTATGTAGCCTAAATGTTCACTGAGAAGTGAGGTTGATCAGGCAACCAACTTGCATGTGTCTGTCCCATAGTTGCCTGTAACCAGTTGTCTTCATCTGTGAAGTGATTCCCACTCAGCTGTCCCTGTTTGATAATTTCAGTAAAGTAAAATTGTGATATATATCTTTATAAATGTGTTTTATAGATCTAAAGGTAGGGTCAGCTCCCTGATGTGTAGGAAAATAGGTCTAGAGGAAGTAGGAAAACAGGTCTGCTCAAGAACTGAACAGGTTCCAGTGGTGGATGTGACTGGGAGATTATTTGTTGAAGAACAAAATGTTGGATTTCTTGTGGAGATGGAAAGAAACTGAACTGAGGCACTAGGACATTTTGCTCAGAAGTATCTGAAGTGTTGCCCTCAGGCTGTGCAGAAGGACATGCCCTGTCTGAGTGTATCTTTGCTGAGGGGGGGACTGTTCCAGAATGGCAGAGCTGTGGAAGTTTTCAAAAGTAGTATTTTTCCTTTGGGTTTGAACAATCTGAACAACATGAACACAGGGGGGATTTCTAAATCACTTCTCCCACCCCACAGAAGCTGAAGATGCGTTTGTCAACAAGGAGAAGGTGCAGAAGGAGGTGAAAGCTGCACTGTCAGAAAATGCCACCCTGAGCTGCGAGGTGGCCCAGGAGAAGACAGATGTGAAATGGTACAAGGAGGGGAAACTGATCACCTCGAGCAAGAAGTTCAAGGTGGAGTCAGAGGGCAAATCCCGTCGGCTGGTGGTGGGACAGGTGGAGAAGAAAGATGCTGGGGAGTACACCTGTGAGGCTGCTGGCCAGAAACTGACCTTCAAGATTGATGTCACAGGTGGGAAACATATTTTAGGTTATATTTTATTGCCTTTTCTTTGTCCCTCGGTGTTTTCATCTGTTGTCTCTGTTGAAATACTAGAAATGCCCTTAAAGTGATTTCTGATGTTGGTCCAAGCTAGAATTTCAGTGAGGTTGTGTAGGACTGGGCAGATCTACTGGTTATGTCTGGATATCCTGATATCAGTTCCTCAACTCCCTGAGTGTCTCCTTAGGTTCAGATAGTGAGTCAAGAACTTTCATTAGCAGGCTCTGCTAAGGGATCTCTTCCAATTTGATCATCAGTGTTGCTATTTCCCTTTCTTCTTATTGATAGTCATTCACAGAAGTCTCTGTTTTATTTCCTCTTTGTTTCATCTTTCCTCTACACATCCTTTCTCCCAAACCAGAGAATTCTCTCAATTATTCCACAGCCTGAATGTACAAGCACATATGTGAACATGGCCTCATAACCCCATGCACAGGGAAGTTTTGTGGGTGATGAACAGAAATGGATACAGACACGTGGAACTTCAGTTATGAGTTGTATTTAACCACCTTTCATCCCACCCTTCCCCTACCACTTCCTTCACCTGTCATTGGGTACCCAGTTGTGATTGATAAAGCTGTGAGAAGTGGTGCAAATACTTGTCTACGAAATGATATTTTAAAAGTAGGGTTCACAAGATCATTACTTGCTTGTGGCTTCATTGAGAAGGTTTAGGGGTTGATGGCCTATGGCACCACAGATTTTGGATCAGCTGCACTGCACCCTCCTGTGACCTGCTGAATCCAAAGGGGATGGGTGTTCATTGCGAGTTCTACAGAGACAGGAAAGTGTATTTCCTGTCACGTTTTTTCCCTTAACAACATGATTTGGAGTTCTGGGGATTTAATGCTGAGGCTGTTCCTTCACTCTGACTACACTAGAGCTTTCTTGAGTCTCAGTATATTTTGCAAGAGGTCCAGTGAATTTTATCTCAGGCTCCAGGGAGCCATGGACATGTTGGCTACGTTCTGAGTGGTAATTACTGAATTGGATTAATAGAAGGGGTTTTATTTTGGTTTGTGTTTGTTTGTTTGTTTTTAGTTTGGGTTGTTTGGTTTTTTTTGGTTGTGTTTTTTGTTTTTCTTTCCATACCCACTCTGCTGTCTTTGCAGCCAAATGTTCTCTGTTAACAATGCATTTCTTGTCTCATATTCTGAGCTGAGCAGAACAGGGAATCTATTTTCTCCTCTACTTTCTTATGGCATCAAACACACTGGGGCCATAATGCTGGCAGAGGTCTGGCATTTTATCAGCTATGTGGAAGAGCAACTGTGCTGGGAATCTGTTGACTTCCCTGCTCACAGCCATGCTGGAGACCTGAAGTCCTTGCAGGGCACAGCTCATGTGCTGTTCCCTTATAAAGGCTGCAGTCTTCACTGCTCTCCTGCTGCCTTGGGGCATCCTGCTCCCTCCATCTTCAGTATGGGTTGTGCAACTGGTTCTGTAGCATAATAAAGCTTTGCTGCTCCCCATGGCATCCCCAGCAGCTCTTTTTTGTCCCCACTCTGCATGGGGCACACAGGGTGTGAGTTGAGTTGCTTTGGCTCTTTTTCATGACTTGTGTATCCTGTGCTTTTGGCTCAGGGATCCGCCAGTTTCACTGCAGGATGGATTACAGATGTGAGAGGCATCTTTCAGAGAAAATGCAACATGGAATCATAGAATATTCTGAGTTGGAAGGGACCCACCAGGACCATCAAGTCCAACTCCTGTCCCTCTGTAGGGCACCCCAAGAATCACACCATGTGCCTGAAAGCATCATCCAAATGCTTCTTGAGCTCAGGCAGACTTGGTACTGTTACCATTGCCCTGGGGAGCTTGTTCCAGTGCCCAACCACCCTCTGGGGGAAAAACCTTTTCCTGATATCCAACCTAAACCTCCCCTGAGCCACCTTCCCGCCATTTCCCCAAGCCCTGTTGTTGGTCACAGGAGTGAAGAGATCAGGACCTGCCCCATCTCTTCCCCTGATGAGGAAGCCACAGACTGCAACATGGCCATTGATAGAAAGACCATTGGTATAAACCAAGTTCATGCTCAGCTGCTGAAGCCATTTCATACTTGACTGCAGAGCTGTGGGCAGAAAACACAGAGATGTGGTGCTTTTACACTTCAGTTTCTCTACCCAAGGGCTATTCTTAGCTGCCTGCCTCAGAAACCAAAGGTTTTCAGTTCTCTTTCAAACCAGATGACCTCATGGCTGTGCAGGGTAAGGTAACACCTTTCCCTCTCTGCTGTCAGGAGAGCTCCTGCCTAGCTACTGTTGCTGTATTTCTCCTGGGTACAACTGTAACATGACATGCAAGGCCAGTGCTGGCTGGAAAATGATCTAGTGTGAAAGTCAGGAGGGATTATGAGTACTCTGACTGGTTGGCTCTTCTGCTGCAGAAATCCTCATCTTACTAGATTATCCCAAAGTGCAGTGGCTTTCTAGGTCTTAATTTATCCTGTTGCCATTGCACTCAGAAAGCTTTTCAGGGTTCCTCTACTCCAGGGCTCCACTGGTAGCAAAAACCTTCCCTATTTAAGGACAGCTTGAAGGTTAGAGGCTCAGTGATGAGTATTGGGATGCATCTCCAGCTTTTTTGGCTTAATATAAAAAGAAGCAGGTGCTGCACACCTTGGGACTGGGCTGGGTATGTAGCCAAAAAAGCTGATTCTCATTGGAATCTCATTGTTTCAAGACTCGTGGTGTGCAGTGAAATCCTTATTTGATGCTGGTGAAAGCTCCATGACCTGGAAATAGTTTCCCTCAGACTCAGTGGAGCTTCACTAGCAAGTTTCAGCTCAGGTTGGAAATGTCATCTGCACTGAATGTTTGTTTAACTTTAAGATAAGTTTCTCAGGCAAGTTACTGGCTAGTGTTAATCACCTTGTAAGCTGAATAGAAGTTTTGCTCTCATTTCCTATCACTATTAAGATGGTTTATATTAGAGGGTGAGAAAGCAGAGGAGAAGTGAGTAGCCCATCTGGAATATTCCTGCCCTGCTAATTTGGAATTTTAAACACAGCAGCCATTGACCCTGGCTGGGCTGTAACTCATTTGTTCTGTGCACTCTGTGCATTCTCATCTGTAGGTGGAAGTGGAAATATTGATATTTTTGCAGCCAGTTTTGAATGCAAACCATGGTGTGTGCTTGAGCTCTTTTAGGTATCAGAATGCTGCTTCATCTGCAGTGGGCTGACCTGTGCCTTGCAGGAATTCTGCATCTCCCAGCCTAGGCCATGCAGGCTGCCTTCTTAATGACACCTTAATGACAATGACACCTCCTTGCACCCCTTCTACAGCCAAGATAAACAGAGGAGCTCAAAATTAGATCATATGAGCTGGGTTCCTGCTTCAGCTTGTTCACTGCAGGACCTCTCTCATTCCATGGGCTGTGCAATATCGATGTCAAGCCTGTGGTGTGGCCCCCAGGATTGCATGTAGTGCCATGGTCAGCAGTGTAGGAACTTGACCTGAGCTTACCCCTGCTCCTCACCCTCCCAGGCAGCTGCTGCCACTCAGAGAACAGACATGACAAGAGATGGTATGCAGAGGGGAAAGTCATTAAGGAGGAGGAAAGGGTGGCACTAGGAGGCTACTGGGGGGAGGAAGGCAGCAGCACAGGTCTTGGAAAAGGTTCACCATGACTGCCAGGGAGAACCAAGAGCCTCCCAGGTCACCTAAACTGGGTAACCTGGATTCCTGAAGCTGGGTGGATGAATTTACTATGAATAAAGACAGAGAGTTGGGGTTCTTCATCCTGGAAGAGAAAAGGCTACAGGGAGACCTTATTGTTGCCTTTCAATTTTTAAAGGGGTCTTCTAAGAAAGATGGGGACAGACTTTTTAGCAGGCCCTGTGGTGAAAGGACAGAGGGTGATGGTTTTAAACTAAAAGAAGGGAGATTTAGACCTACTATTAGGAAGAAACTCTCTACTCTGAGAGTGGTGGAACACTGGAACAGGTTGCCCAGAGAGGTGGTAGATGCCCCATCCCTGGAAACATTCCAAGTCAGCTTGGACAGGGATCTGAGCAACCTGACCTAAGTGAAGATGTCCCTGCTGAGTGCAATGGGGGTTGGACTAAGTGACCTTTAAAGGTCCCTTCCAACTCAACTATTCTATGATTCTAATTATCTTCCATGCTTGCACTGCAGCTGAAGGACAACGTCAACCCCATCCACTTGCTAGTTCATCACTGATCTTTGGAGCTTGTGCTTCTGCAGCAGTGAAATCATGGACTTCAGCACTCAAGTACACACCTGGGACATAAACAGGCAAAGAATGCCTGTGCTAAATGCTGGATGGTTGTTGCTAGGTGATGTCCATCATGTAGGCAGACCAGAAATATTTTACACTTCTTGTGCAGTTGTTTCTTAGGGTAAATCAGGGAGAAAAAACGTGGCAGCCCCAGTATTTAGTCTGTTTGTCCTCTCATATCTCAAATGTGCACTTAGATAAAAAAGCTAACTGTGACCACACCAGTTGCTGGCAAAAGGAGAATCAGGTAAAACAGGTCAAAGTACTCAGTAGAAGATACAATTTATCAGTCAGTTCTAATTACCAAGGTGACAATTTAATCTTTGCAATGAATAAACCTGATTAACTGCTAATTGCACATTATGCCCTTCTGATACCAACTCCAGGTGTTGAGATGGAAACTTTAAGTAGTGCTGTGGAAGAAAGAGATTTTAAACACTTCATTGCTGTTCCTTGTGTTTAGCATTGTGAAAAGATTCCCCATGGCCAGTTTTCTGAAAAATTAGAGATTTCCTAAGACAGAAAAGCATATTTCAAATTCTTTTGTTCAGTTTTATGCTTAACATAGGCCAGGTGATCTTCCATACTAGGAACTGTATCTTTGTCATTTCTTTGCAATGGAGTTACAGGATATTTTCTGAGCAACACCCTGTCTTCATCTAAAAGACAGAGATGCTGGTAAATTCCTGTAAATAATTTGATAGTGAGGGTGTAAACTCATAATTGGGCTGTATTGGGCTAGTTCCAGATGTGGGATATATCCAAATATCATAAAGACAAATAGGGGGAAATTAATCTTTGTCTTCTTTATTAGAAATTTGAAGACGAGGTAGATGAGCTGTTTGATGACTAGTCAGAGAGTTATAAAAATTATATGGACTGTATTTTGGGGTTGTTGTGGGGTTTTTTTGTATTTTGTTCCATGTGATAAAAAGACCTGCAAAGCAATGTTACTTCCAATAAAGGAGCCTCTAGAGCATTTACACAAAATACATGTAATATCTCCTTGTTGCAATATGTTTATGTCTTCTCCCTTTTTGCCCTGTTGTTTTCCTGTTTCAGAAGCTGAAGATGCATTTGTCAACAAGGAGAAGGTGCAGAAGGAGGTGAAAGCTGCACTGTCAGAAAATGCCACCCTGAGCTGCGAGGTGGCCCAGGAGAAGACAGATGTGAAATGGTACAAGGAGGGGAAACTGATCACCTCGAGCAAGAAGTTCAAGGTGGAGTCAGAGGGCAAATCCCGTCGGCTGGTGGTGGGACAGGTGGAGAAGAAAGATGCTGGGGAGTACACCTGTGAGGCTGCTGGCCAGAAACTGACCTTCAAGATTGTCACCACAGGTGGGAAACATATGTTGGTTCTCATCACAGAAAGGTCCATTTTATTGCAGAGCAAAATGAGTCTCTTTCTGGGATCTGTGTAGCCTAAATGTTCACTGAGAAGTGAGGTTGATCAGGCAACCAACTTGCATGTGTCTGTCCCATAGTTGCCTGTAACCAGTTGTCTTCATCTGTGAAGTGAATCCCACTCAACTGTCCCTGTTGTTTTCTGATATCAGAGTAAAGAAGAACTGAACAAGTTTGCATCATGCTGTTGTGATTTATAGATCTAAAAGTAGGATCAGCTCCCACATGTGTAGGAAATAGGTCTTAAGAAGTACCTGGAGTGGGCAAGGCCTACACTGCAGTTCCAACAGTGAATGACATTGGGTACATATATGCATTATATTAAGGAAAAAAAATAATAAATCAGATTTCTTCTGCATCCATGGGGATGGGAAGAGCCATAACTCCAGAGGTATTGGTTTATCTTGCTCAGAAACGGCTGAAGTGTTGTCTTCAGGCTGTATGGTGGGAAATGTCCTGTCTGAATGTATCTTAGCTGTAGGTGGAACCATTCCAAAAAGGACAGAGCTGTGGAAAGGGCTCAGAGGCACAATTTTGCATCTGATTGTGAACTTTTTGATCAACATGAACATATGCGTGATTTTTTAATTGCTTCTCCCACCCCACAGAAGCTGAAGATGCTTTCACCAACAAGGAGAAGGTGCAGAAGGAGGTGAAAGCTGCACTGTCAGAAAATGCCACCCTGAGCTGCGAGGTGGCCCAGGAGAAGACAGATGTGAAATGGTACAAGGAGGGGAAACTGATCACCTCGAGCAAGAAGTTCAAGGTGGAGTCAGAGGGCAAATCCCGTCGGCTGGTGGTGGGACAGGTGGAGAAGAAAGATGCTGGGGAGTACACCTGTGAGGCTGCTGGCCAGAAACTGACCTTCAAGATTGATGTCCCAGGTGAGGGATTATCTGATGACTTTTTTTTATTTTTTTTAACTATATTTATAAAGAGACTTTTCTAGTGGCATAGATTTTTTTCCTAACCTTGGTCTTAATAGGTCTGCAACAGAACTTAAGCGGTTATTCTTAAAGGTCAGTATTCAGGGCATGTGTTTGGATGGTTTGGGAAAGAGAAAAACCCACTTAGGCTGGTATTCTGTCCCTGATTTTGTCCAGGAGTATATAAGGAAGAACAAGACAAGCAGCCTGCAATGCTTCCACTCTTTAGGAGTCTGTAGCTCCACTCTTCAATCTGTAGTTTCCATCTGTGTTGGAGCAGAGTTTCTCTGCTACTTCCATCCAGGACATGGATTGCTGAAAGAATTTGCCATTATGACTTCAGGAGGAATTGCACAGCAATTGCACAGTGTTGAGTGTGAGCTCATACTGGTACCCAGTAATTGCACAGCAATTGCACAGTGTTGAGTGTGAGCTCATACTGGTACCCAGTTGTTGGTGTATGCTGGTGAATCATCACTGCACACACTTCTGTCCTTGCTGCTAGTTATTTTTGTGGAAAATGTTACTTAGTACTTCCTCTCTCATCTTCCTTGCTTCTGTCTTGCTTGAAAGGTTTATCAGGCAGGAATAGCAAACTTTGGTATTGATGTTTCATTTCTGGCTGTAGACAGGAGCCTTGAGGTTGTGAGATCTCCAGTGGTGGAGATATTCAGAACTCAAAGGGACAGGGCCCTGAGAAACTCAATGTAATTTTATTTGCTGTCAGTGGGGAAGTGGGACTGGATGACCTCCAGAGATCACTCCTAACCTAAATTATTTTATTAGTGTGATTTTGTACTATTAGTAGCACATGTTCTGCAGAATAAATCTGTGAAGTGATGGATTCCATAAGGACACAACCCCACACAAATCTTCGTGAAGGTGCACCAGGGCTTATGCATCTATTTAATAACCCTTATTGGTTTTTTCCTGAAAATTTCTCAGACCAAATATGGGGAAAGTGCTGGTGGATGAAGGATCCTGCCTGGAGTATGTCCTGTTTACTGTAAATGTGCAGCCCAGTCTTTTCTGTGGGTGAATAGAACCTGACCATCTTTCCCAAGAGATCCAAACCATCCTGCTTGGCCTGCTGAGAATGTGTGTGCAGGAAAGGTGGTGTAAGCCTAAAGGTCAGGCATGGCAGCTCTTCCTATTGCCCAAAAAAGCAGCAGCCAGAAACTGTTCTCTCTGGAAGCAAGCTGTTCCTGCCAGGGCTTCCTCAAGAATTTCTTCAACTCTGACACTATTAACCTTTTCCATTTTAAGGCTATTTTATTTAAACTGTCATCTACCAGGTGGTCTCCCATTGAAAACCAAGTTCCCTCTGATCTTGGAAGCAAAGCTTCAATTTTCATGGGCTTTTTATTCTAGATTTTTCCTTCTTTCCAATCTTGCAGATGATGTGTTTGAACACAAAGACAAAGTGCAGAAGGAGGTGAAGGCAGTGCTGAATGAGAACATCATGCTGAGCTGCGAGGTGGCCCAGGAGAAGACAGATGTGAAATGGTACAAGGATGGGAAACTGATCACCTCGAGCAAGAAGTTCAAGGTGGAGTCAGAGGGCAAATCCCGTCGGCTGGTGGTGGGACAGGTGGAGAAGAAAGATGCTGGGGAGTACACCTGTGAGGCTGCTGGCCAGAAACTGACCTTCAAGATTGATGTCCCAGGTGGGAGAAAATTCTTTGGACCAGGATTCCTATTTCTGGAACATTCAGAAAAATTAATAGTATAGTTATTATATACCTTCTCTGTAAAATAGTATAAAGTTCTTAAGACAGGGAGCTCCATTCTGTAAAAACTTGGGGATCCACCCACCTCTGTAGGAACAGGGCCCTGAAAAGGGAAGGACTGATTGCACATGTCCATCCCCACATATTGGTGCAACCAGAGCAACTCTTCAACACAACTGATTCCCAGTGAAATTCAGAGCAGGATCATGATGAAGAGTGGTAGGGTGTCTGCCTGATGTCTGCACTCAAAACCCAAATCAAAACACATAAACTCACCAGAAATCAGTTTGAATGTTCTAGCAATGGTTTTAGATGTGTCACATCAGGGTTTCCTGGTGCTACCTGTAAGCTGTGAAAGGGGACTGGACAACTTCATATCTTGGAGACACTCTGGATTTCTCTCTTTTCAGAGCCAGAAGTTGTGTTTACAAACAAGGACAAAGTACAAAAGGAGGTGAAAGCTGCACTGTCAGAAAATGCCACCCTGAGCTGCGAGGTGGCCCAGGAGAAGACAGATGTGAAATGGTACAAGGAGGGGAAACTGATCACCTCGAGCAAGAAGTTCAAGGTGGAGTCGGAGGGCAAATCCCGTCGGCTGGTGGTGGGACAGGTGGAGAAGAAAGATGCTGGGGAGTACACCTGTGAGGCTGCTGGCCAGAAACTGACCTTCAAGATTGATGTCACAGGTGAGACAGATCTTGTCTCAAGTATAGTTAAGGATAATAAAGTAACACATGCAATAACAATGTCACCAGAAGTCATCAGCAGCCTGTGCTTTGTTGCACCCTCTGGGGTTCACCTGATTTTCTGCACCCGATTGCCTGGACTTGTAGGAGTGGGAATATTAGTCTCTATTACAAGAGAAAGGCCTGTCTCATTCTTAGTCAGTGTATATAATCATTGCAGATATAAATGTAAAGAAATAATAGTCAACATATTATTAAAATCTCTCCCACTTTTGGGATCATGAAGGTTAATTCTTGTGCACTAAATTTCTTTATAGGAAAGAGCCCTTCAAAAGCCATTTCTCATTAGATTTATGATCCCCTTTCTGAAAACTGAGAGGTTGGAATATGCTTTGTCATTTGCGTGGCACTTAGGGAGATGGATTGATCACTCAGCACTTTTTCTGAATTTGTGCTATAGGACATTTAGGTGCTACATGTCTCTTTGTCATGAAAGATTCCTGGCAATTGATCTTTTGGAACAGGATTCACAAGGTTCCCTAACAGTTCTTAGGACGTGGTGATGCTAAAGGGAGTGCAAATAACCTTGGATTCCTTGCCAGCCATGATCCTGGCCTACCTGAGCACTATGGGGAGATCTTTGTCTGTTTGAAAGTCACATTTCTTTCTCCCTTTGAAAGTCACATTTATGACAGTGGAAGGGACCATGAAGTGTCTGCTCCAGATGCTCTTAGTCCTATATTGGTGACATTGACATTTCTCTGTAAGTCCTAAGTAAAAGGAATTTTCAGGCTTTTGGTGATATGCAGGACAAGATATTCTTTGGGAAGGTTTGGATTAAATATTTTTTCCATGGTGGATTGTAACCATAGGATTGATGTCAAGGCCCTTCTTGGTCCTCTCCATCTCTTGGCTCTTGGTTCCCTGGATCCCACACTTTGTTTTCTTGACAAAGAAGGGTAGATATTTCCCAGGGAACTCAATCAGTTTTGGCAAGTGGCAACCTAAGTATTTTCCAAATGACCTCATTTTAATCCCTCCATAATTTTTTTTATTCCTTTTCTGTACTCAGAGCCAAAACCTGCATTCATAGACCAGGAAAAAGTCCAGAGGGAGGTGAAGGCTATCCTGACAGAAAGTGCCACCCTCAGCTGTGAGGTGGCACAAGATGCCACTGAGGTGAAATGGTTCAAGGATGGAAGACTGCTCGTTTCTTCTAGAAAATTCAAAATAGAGACTGTGGGCAAAACCCGGCGCCTGGTTATAGAGCAGCTGGAGAAGAAAGATGCTGGAGAATATACCTGTGAAGCTGCAGGCCAGAAGCTCACCTTCAAGTTGGAACCAACTGGTGAGAACTCACCTAAGCAGATATCTGTGGGGCTTAGAGGAGAAGTGGACATTCCCACTGTGCAGCTGTGGTGCAGCCATTGTGCTGGGAGCAACATTGGTGAATCTCACCACACATTAATTTGACCTTTTTAATCTAGCAGTGTGGTGGTGTGGAGGTAGGAATTCTGGCTGGACACCACTTTTTTTTGGCTGTGGAGATGTTGTCTAGTTTTTTTTGTTTAGTGTCTTCTTCACACACCTCATTCCCCAAACTTTTCAAGTGGTGGAGGGGCTGAAAGTAGAAGTGGGAAGTTTTAAAGAGCAGAAATGATGACTAAGAAAAACTGGTCTGCTGATGTGTGTGCCCCAAAATTGCCTGGTTTTGTGTCAGAGCATTGAACAAGGTAGAGAAGTACCCAAGATAGAAGGAACAGAGTCAGGGGAAAAGAAAATAGGCCACAAATTCAGGTTTAGTATATTAATATTTATTCTTAATTAGCTCTAAAATCCTAAAAACAGGAGCAGAAATAATTGTACAGGTCATTTTACTTCTAAGAAACAAGCTTTTTTGTGAGCAGCAGCTAAAATATATATTTTAATTTCCTTTCCTTTGCTTCTCTTCTAAGCAGAAGCTCTGGGCAGCCTGTCAGATAATTTTCTTTTTCCTGCTCAGCAGAAGGTTATACCAACCATGAATATTCAGGCGTATTCCTTGGATTATTACAGATTATGGATGAGAAGATGTTGTGAGAGAGAGAACCAGAAAATTACTGTGTTAAGGATTTGAGACTTAAGTTGTTAGTTTTTAATATTTTAATGTCATTCCTAGAACCAGAAGCTAAATTTGAAAATAAAGTTGTCCAGAAGGAGCCTCTCATTGTCCAAGAACATGAAAGCATCACACTGATGACTTCAGTAACACCTGAAACTGCTGCAGTGAAGTGGTTCAAGGATGGAACAGAAATCAAGGCGAGCAAGAAATATGAGATCAAGAGTGAGGGGGCATCCAGGACCCTGAGGGTGAACCTGGCTGAGAGCACAGACACTGCTGTGTACACTTGCCAGACAAAGAACGACAAGCAGGAATTCAAAGTACAAGTGAAAGGTGAGCAGAGAGTTGCACACAGGTTGTGTCCCAACCCAACAGCTACATTTCCCTCATGGATGAACCATAGAATCAGAGAATTCCAGGTTTGATGGGACATCAAGGGTCATTTGGTCCAACCTTTCTTGGCAAAAGCATGGTCTAGAGAAGATGGCCTAGTACCCTGTCCAGATAAGTGTGCAATGCTGAAGAATAACCCACTTCCCTGGGGAGATGACTGATGGCTGATTGTTCTCATTGGGAACATTTTTAATGAGATAGGTAAGGTAGAGGTGAAGTCCAGACTTTCTCTAAAACCTTTCAAACCTCATGGCTTGAACTGCTGGTGCAGATGTGGTGGTTGCCCCACCACAGGCCAGCAAAGTTCTCCACCTTCCAAGTACCCAATTTTTGTCCTTTGGTGGCTACTCAAGGGAACCAGGAGGCCTACAATGGGTGCTTTCCCTGCTGTCTGCTCCCCACTGTCACCACGCTGTTTCTGTCTCCTCCTAACCCCAGTAGATAGGGCACAGCAGAGCCTAAGCTCTTCTCCACTCTGGTCATCAGCCTGGCAAAGCTGAGGAGGATACAGAGGGATGTTGTGTGAGGACATCTGTGAGTTAGTTACATGGTGAAAGAGGACCTAAATTGTTTCCTCCTCTGTTTCTGGGATGATGCACCTGGGATGCTGTGTCCTAATCAAGGCTGAGGCTGTCTATTGACAGGTGGGATGAAGCCACAGCTGGTCCACAGATGGTGGTGAGATGGATGATGTCCCAGAGCAAAGACCTGCTCATTTCTGTTCAGACACTCAGACTGGAGATCTCTGCAGCTGAGGTGCACCCCTTTGGAGTCATTGCCAAGGAGTGGCTGCTAAAAGATATAACATATACAGATATAATACATCTAACTTATCAAAACGTGTCCTCCAGCATGAAAAAAATCAAACCCTCATTTTCTCTGACTCCATTGGCTGTGTCTTCAGTGACAGGACAGACAAAGGAGGCTGGAGCTTGTGCATCCATGTGGATTTTTACTTTTAGTCAGGCAAATCAGGCTCTGATGTAAAAACACTCCAAAGTCTCAACAGGTATGAAATTAGAAAGAAAAGAAAGCCAAACTCAATCCTGTTTAAAGGCACTTGCTGTACAGAATGATAGTGGTATTAAAACTCCATGTCAAAGGAATCTCCCTAAATTCCCTCCTTTCTGGTTTGTTTCTCTCTACACCAATCCCAAAATCTGTCAGATTTTAATTTTTATATTTCTTCTAAGGTTGGCCAAAATTTATTTCTTAGAACAAGTTTCTTATCTTTTCCCTTCTCATCATTTTTTCCTTCTCCTGCATCCCAGAAATCCCAGTGAAGTTTGCAAAAAAACTTGAGGCTGTTAACGCTGAGATTGGGGGCAGCGTCTCCTTGACCTGCGAGGTGACCCATGCCAAAGGGAAGGTGGTCTGGTACAGAAATGGTGTCCAGATCAAGCCCAACAAACGTTTCCAGATCCATGAGGATGGGGTGAAGAGAACCCTGACAATATCAGGGATCCGGGCTGAGGATGAGGGAGAATATTCCTGTGAGTCCAGAGATGACAAGAGCAGCGTTTCCATCACTCCCAAAGGTATGAACTGCATGGGGACAAAGTGGAGGGATCCTTGGGTTTTGTCCTCAGCCATTGCAGCTCTGCAAAGCTGAGTTTGTGTGTTTGTGCTGCCTCTTGTGTTGACAGATAAATATAAAGCTTTGCTTCCCCTCTCAGTGTCAGTGGAACCTCTCTTTGTGAAGAACACAATGAACTCTTTACTGTGAGGGTGGTGAGACCCTGGCCCAGGTTGCCCAGGGAAGCTGTGGCTGTCCCATCCCTGGCAGTGTTGAAGGGCAGGTTGGATGGGGCTTGGAGCAGCCTGGGCTGGTGGGAGGTGTCCCTGCCCATGCAGGGGGGGTTGGAATGAGATGATCTTTAAGGTCCCTTCCAATCCAAACCATTCCATAATTCTACAATTTTGAGACCCGTTGGACTCTGGTGTCTTAATATGTGGTAAAATTTGCCTTCATATTGCATTTGAGTCTGGAATCAAGTATCCCAAATATAAGATGAGATTTCCCACCCCCTCTGTATTTGCATCTGCCATTTGGCATCTTCTTTCAGACATGGGAAATGTGATGACCCACACAGGGGAAGACTGAAGGAGGATCTAATTAATGTCTATAAATACATGAGGGCTGGACATCAAGAAGACAGGGACAACCTCTTGTCACTTGTGCCCTGTGATAGGATGAGGGGCAATGGATTCAAACTAGAGCACAGAAAGTTCCACCTCAACATGAGGAAGAACTTTACTGTGAGGGTGACAGAGCCCTGGGACAGGCTGCCCAGAGAGGCTGTAGAGTCTCCTTCTCTGGAGACTTTCAAGACCTGTCTGGATGCCTCTCTGAGTGACCTGCCCTGGTTGTTTTGGTCCTACTCTGGCAGGGGGGATGCACTTGGTGATCTTCGTAGGTCCCTTCCAGCTCCTAATACTCTGTAATTCTGTGATTAACATAATCACTTGCTGTAAGTAATAAAAACTGATGATTCCAACAAAATCATCAAAGCATTTGGCTCTTTGAGGGTATTCATGCCACGCCTCAGAGATATGGTCCAAAACGTTTTATTCCCTGTCCATCAGCTCCCAGAGTGGTGAAATTCGTGATGGGTCTCAGCAGCCTGGTGTCTGAGGAAGGAAAAGAGGCCGTGTTCAAGTGCACCGTCTCTCCCAGTGATGCTGTGGTCACCTGGCTCAGGAACGGTGCCAAGATTGAAGCCAGCAAGAAGTATGTGATCTCACAGGAGGGCACCAACCACAGCCTCACCATCACCGACCTGACGCTGGAAGACGCCGCCGAAATCTCCGCCAGCGCCGAGGGGGTGGAAAGCAGAGCCAACCTCCGGGTCCGAGGTAGGAAGGGAGAAGGACCCTTTGGCCAGCTGTCAGCGAGGTCGCATTGCCTCGTTGTGATGCTCTGTGTCTGACCTTCCCACTGACTGATTAGCAGTAGGGAAATTGGGCTTTCACATCATTAAACTGGGATTGCCAGAACGCACTGGGACTGCAGATCCATGAGCCACCCTTGCAGTTCTCTCTGAAAGCCTCTTTTCTGGGAACTGTGTTCTTACCAATATTTATTCTCCTTTGGCAGAGGCTTCAATCTCATTCAAGAAGAAGCTGGAGACCAGAACAGTTGAAGAGAGGGACACAGTGACCTTGGAGGTAGAGCTGACCAAGCCTGCAGAGGTGAAGTGGATGAGGAACAGCATTGTGTTGAAGCCCAGTGAAAAGATAGAGATCAAAGCTGAGGGAACAAAGCATATCTTGGTGGTTAAGGACATCTCCTTTGCAGACAGGGGGTTCTACTGCTGTGAAAGTCCTGATGACAAGACTCAAGCCAAGATCAATGTGGAAAGTAAGTTGGATGATCTTTGGTACTATAAATACTCTGGACAGGGTTTGGAGGTAGATTCTGGTCTCTTCCATTATCATGGTGGCCACTGCCACCCCCGCCTGCCATGGGGACACAGGGACACCCCTGTGGGCTTGGCCACCAGTCAAATAACTGAAAGGAGGTGGGAGCAAGGGCAGTAAAAAGAGAATAGTTGGCTCATTCTTGTTTCCTCCATCTTGTCCCACCAGCTTTCACTCATGCCATTGACCATGAAGCCTCTTGGCTGATTCTTCTCCTTCCTCTACAGTTTCTCACTCCCTGGTACACTCTGTTTTTTCCCCTGATAAGGCTTTTATCAAACCATTCCCTCTTCAGCCATCCATTGTCCTAATTCTTCTCTGCAAACCACCTCTTTCAGAATGTGTCTTTATATTCATTCAGGGTTACAAAAAAGCTACAAAAGCCAATCTTCTATCTCAGGGTGCTGCCCTTTCAAGTGAGCTAATGGGATCTCAGCTGTAGCTGTGCCCTTTTTTTCTACATTCTTTTGTCATGACTGTTACAGGGCAGATGAAGACAGGATTTAGGCACTTAAGGACAACCTAGTTTTATCTGTAAAGCCCATGCCACCAACTGGTGCTGTGTAAGTCATAAATAGAAAGTAAGGATGGAGTAGATGACAAGCTTCAAGTACATAAAAGGCTGTTATAAAGTGGAAGAGAACAATCTGTTCTCCATGTGGAAATAATGAAAGGAAATAATTTACTTCAATCATGATGAGAAAGATCCAGGTTATACAGTAAAAAGCTTTTAATGGTTGGAGGGCTGAACAGTCAGACTGCGGAGGTTTTGGAGCCTCCACCATGGGTTTAAGAAAAGGTCAGTGAAATATCTATCTGGGATGATGTAGAGATCTGAGCATCTCCAAGATGGAAAGTCTAGATTATTTTTCCAGGCCTTTCCAGCTAGTATTTTGGTCTTCTGATGGTATCAAAGATGTAAAAAATCAATTTTAGACTCATAAAGAGCAGGGCTTGTAAGCTCACTTTCATGCACTGCTAAGACAGCTTCCTCTTCAAAAGCTTTCTGGCTGGCAGTTGCCAAAACCTGCTGCTTTAGCATCCTGATATGGGGCAGGTATCACTTCTACTCATCTTTTTTTCCAAACTGAAATAACTCTAGAAAAAGAAGAGAGGTTATCAAGAACTAGGAGTAGTGGATTAGTCTTGGATTCATGAAGCCTAAATCCAGCACATCCCTTTCAGCTCCTTCTGTAGTCAAGAGAGAGGAAAAAAAGACCTCTAGAGAGTGTTTTAAGTCTTTGGTGCACTGAATTACCTTCTAGAGTGTCTTTCTGAGTCTTCAAGGAACCATGAATGACTACAATCCTGTTTTAGAACTAGATCCAGGTTTACTGCCTCAGAAAAATGAGGTGAATTTGGTCCACAGAAGATAAATAGAGCAATTCCATGGTCAAAGTGTTTTGGAAGAATGTTGTGCCATGTGGGACAGTTTACTGCTCCATCCTCTTTCACCCATTACAACCCAAAGCATTTATTTTCAGGCTCTGAGTGATACTCATTTTCATTCCAGAAAGATATTTCAGCAATAGGTTGTAGGTTCAACTACACCTGGTTTAGGCACTGGCTGTTGCTGTAGCCATGTAGTAAAAACATGTGTAGTAAAAAAATGATGGAACAGTGTTTATATAGGAAGTAATTGGCTAGTCCTGACAGCTGCCAACATTGTTTTCTGCAAGGTGAGTCATGCAAGTATAAATTTAGAACTGTCTCTGCTTTGTAAACTCCCTATTCTGATGGAGAGAGAGGATTTTGGTTTGTGCTCTCCAGGCACCCAGCTGCATTCTCATTAGTGTCACTGTAAAAAATAGCTCCTCTCTTGATGAACTGAGGTCGTTTCAAGCAGTGGTGGGAACTCACAGTGATCTGAGAGTGACCATGGTCAAAAAGGAGAATCATGGCCCCGTAACAGGGAATTGTTTTTGTGTATGATCATCCAAGCATTAGTCATGAGCTGCAGCAGGAAAGGGGCCACATTCAAGAATCTCACTAGACCATATGAGCTCTGCATCCAAGTCTTCCAGCTGAGACTGCACCAAGCTCTCACACTGCTTTACAGCAAAAGCAAGACTTTAAAAGTAGAAGTGTAAAATGTATGCTCCATTTTTTTGGCATATAAGCAAATGGGGTCTTTTCAGTACCTTGTTCTAGAGCTTGCTTTGAGGTCAGCAGAAGTTCTTTAAATGCTCTTGGTCTGGGGAATGGAGCTATTACTATTTGATGCTCAGCTTTGGGTTGAGGAGCCTGATTTTGGAGGACTTTTATTTAAAACACATGAAGTTGGACTATATTGTTTGGCTTGAGATAGATTGCTTTCAGAACAAGGTAAAGAAGGAAAGCTATGTGAAAATCTGTTGATGTACTCCAGTCTAAAAGTTGCTTCATCAAAACATAAACATCTGTTCAGATCTCAAGATCCCCAAAGATCCTAAAAACAACGGAGCTACTCAATTCAATAATATATCTGGCTGAATATCTGTTTTCAGTTTTGACCAGGAGAAGTTTGTGGAAGGCTTAAATAAGTAAGTCATGAGTGAAGTGATTCTTTCTCTGATACACCTCTAAGCTTTCACTAGGGAAAAGCATAATTAAGTCAAATAATTATAGCTGAAATTATACTGGAAACACGAGTATGAAATTTCAAGTCTCTGGATATTTTGTCTAGACACATTGTCTATTAAAATAAATCCCATAATTCCCCAAAAGTTGCTGCTTTATGACAAGACCAAAAAGTGGGGGGTTTTCAGTCCTATGGACACCAAGTAAAGGCACATCCAGGAGGCCACTCACTGAGTTAGAAATGTCTATGCTATTTAGTTAATGCTTTTGCAATCCCTTTCACCATGGTCTCAGAATAATTTCAGTTTGATCCTCAGTCCATTCACTATTTGAGGGGCTGAAGTATCTATTAACCTAGGAGAAAGTTTAGACAATAGCAGGTACCCTGTGTTCAGTAGAGTGAAAAATACCCTGAAGAGATAAGGATGGGTTGAAAAATCAGTTCAGAAACCTGGGAACTATTCAAATTCTAATGAGCTAAACCAGGAGGGCTGATCTCTTAGTTTGGGAAGCAAAGAACAGGCTCCTGGAACTGTGTCCCTCATTTGTCTGGTTCAAGACATGTCCTTGGGGCAAATTTGTGTTTAAGTGGTTGTGACTTTGGGGAAGACCGTGAGAGAGGAATCAGTGTGATTTCCTTCAGAGAGGAATTAGACATGATCCTGGAAAAGATGAGCATATTCCTCTATAAACCTACTGTGAAGTGTAACAGCAACAGAAGGGACAGGAAAGGCCCAAGGGGATAGAATCACCTGGAGTCCATCACCACCCTCCTGAGGAGAGCAGCACTGTGCTTCTACCTTATTTCTCCATAAAGTCACAGTCAACTCATTGCACCTTTGTGGGACCTTTGGGGATAGAATTTGTTCCCTGTTGCCCCTTTTGTGGCATAGAGCAGTTGCCAATAGGAGATGTTAGTGCCTCAGAAAGGCCATGGTGTCCTCAGCCCAGGACCTGGGTCCAGACCCTGACCACTGGACAGAGCCCACTCCTGCTCAGGGTTGCATTCAGATCCCATCTGAATGTGGGTTATCTCTGCTAAACATGCATTAGGAAGGCTGAAATATTCCCAGGGGACCCATAGGGAGCTGAAGGTTTTTATGAGTAACCCATGGCTTTGCAGAGGTTGGTGGAGTTCTGTGGGGTGTTTTTTTGAGGTTTTGTTTAGTTTTGGGGCTTTTATTTGGTTTTGCATGTTTGTTTGGGTATTTTATTTTATTTTACTTTATTTTATTTGGAAATTTAATTTCTTTAAAGAGCAGGACAGATTTAAGCACTAAATCACAGATACTTTGTCCCCCAACCTGTAAGGTGTCAGTGCACTTCACCCCCTGTCATGAATTTTATTTCTTTTTATTAAAAGAAATTTCTCCGCTCAATGCTACTTCCCTCCCTCCCTTGTTTTATCCCAGTTGAAAACTGAACAATATTGTACATTCCCTTACACTCTATTAACCTCTACTGATGGTCTTTCTCTTAGATCATGTGTGAAGAATAAGTATTTTCAGCAACATCTGAAAAAAATTGCCTTTTAAATACTCAAAGGGGGGTTATGAGAAAGCTGGGGACAGACACTTTAGCAGGGCCTGCAGCAATAGGACAGGAGGTGATGGTTTTAAATTAAAAGAGGGGAGGTTTAGACTAGATTTTAGGCAGAGATTTCTTATGCTGAGGTTGGTGAGACAGTAGCCCAGGTTGCCCAGAGAGGTCGTAGATGCCCCATCCCTGGAAACACTCCAGGTCACTTTGGATGGGGCTCTGAGCAGCCTGATCTAGTTGAAGATGTCCCTGCTCATTGCAGTGGGGCTGGACTAGATGATCTTTAAATGTCCCTTCCCACCCAAACCATTCTATGACCCCTCTTGAGGTACAGCACAGGGACCCTGGTCCCAGAGTAAATAACAGCAGCATAGTCTTCTGCTGTAGTGTTTCTTCCTGGTGGTTATTGCTGACCACCTCACCCAGAGCAGGAA